ACCGGTGGCACAAGGTTAGTTAATGTGAAATTTCTAACTTAAAGAGTCAAATATCCATTTGACCAAAAAAAAAAAAAAAGAGAGTCAAATATCCTGAGTTTTAGTGGATATATTTGATGAATGTTGTTGAACATACACATATATATTCACTCCGTTATTTTATAAATGATGTTTTAGGAGAATACATACAAATTAAAAAATCATTTAATTTTTGTTGATTTCTAAATAAAAAACATCATTTATTATCTAATCAACCAATTAAAAAATAATCTGCATAATATAAATCATCAAAACTAATAAAAAACTAATTTATATTGCATTGAAAACTGAAAACATTATCTATTTAAGAATAAAAATATAAGCTTAAAACATCATTTATAAAAGAACGGAGACAGTACCGTTTAAGAGATCAGAATACTCATTATCAAAAGCATTAATCTATTTATACAAACACGTTTTTCTCGAGGCTCACTCATGTAATTACTAAACTAGTACTCTTTGTCTTGTTTTCTGAGTTAGCTGAATATTGAATAGCCAAGCAAGATAAAATAAAATAACTTGAGACAGCATAAGAAATGGTATCGTTGAGTTGGATACAGGTAGGAATCCGAATAAATAATAATTAGCTTTGAAATGCACGAGGAAGATGGAGAAAATTATTATTTTATAATACTAAAGTTACTACTCCAGCCAAAAAAAAAAAAAGAGCTATACTGTATTAGGATGTGATTGGTTGGACTGTATATTTATGGTACAACTAAAAAAAAACTTAAAACTCTAATATTAAACCAATCAACCTTTAGCTTTTTTAAAAAATTTCACAACCCAAAACAATTTTTTTTAGTATTTTTTACTATATTTCTTAAAATTTTTACAACATATTTTTGTGTGCTTTAAGAGTTGTAGTCATTTTTTTTTTCTCTTATATTTAATTATTTCTTTTTTTACTGCATACTAGTGTACATGATAATTTAAATATAAGAAAAAATAATATATTTACAATACTTTTACTAAAGTGACAAAAAATTATATTAATTATATATGTATATATATATATATATATATTTCATTTCATTATTATACAAATTTATATTCTAATATATATTTAAACCAAAAATTGTTTAATGTATTTTGAATATATGAAACTTACTATTTATTATATGTTCCATCAGTTATCTTATGTAATATATTACAAATATTAAATATTCATATACTTAAATTATAAATCTATGATATTGAACTAAGTTTACCAATCATATTTTACTATTAAAATACCTACAGAAAAAAACCCTACACCTACAGCCAACGCATATACAACAAAAATTCTACAGAAAAAAATTACAGATACAGCTCAACCAATCACCCACTTAGTTTATATTACCATTGAGCTGTATAGTCAAATTTTAATTTTAATTGGCTCGCAATGTAAATATTAATTACTTTTATATGTAATTCATAAAAGCTACTCATAAACATGCTTCCTCTCTCTCAATTTATTTATACTTAAATTTTTTTGCAAACAAATTAAAAATTTACAAAATTCTCATTTAATTTATTTCTTTTACATAAAAACATTATTGACTATAGCTAATTCAATCAATAAAAAAATACTAAAAACAATACTTATTTTGCAACAAAAATCTAATACTATGACAAGTCTAGTTTTTTTGGTTAAAAAAAGAAAAATATTTCAAAAGTTTTTTTTTTTGTCGCTATTTGATCGATATATCGTGTGCTACGTTGACAAAAATAGGGACTGATGGAAAATTATTTTACCGACAAGAAAATAATTAAAATATATTAACGAAATGACAAGGCTAAATAAGCTAAAGGACCAAGTTGAGGAAAAATGGGTCCACCTGACGACCAATAACAACTCGTCCGTACTAATAATATCTATTTATACCTATGTTGGATGTTTCAAATTTTTTTAGCATCATAAATCAGATACTCTTTCTTTTAGCACTGTTATTGTTTCTCTATAAATCACAAATATCCAAGGTCTCTTTTTTTTTTTTTCTTAATATATATTTTACAAAAAGTATCGTTTTAAATTTTAATTTTGTTTTACAAAGAAGTTCGTTTTGTGTTTTCAATGCAATTTTAAGACAAATTCTTTTTTTTATCTTATTAATTAGAGAGATATTATTACTTAGTGTATTGATAAAGGGTAAAATTTGTTTACTTTTTTTAATTTGTGTAAAAAATAATAGAATGATACTATTTATTTATAAAAAAGAGGGAGTATCAATTATAGTTTTCTTATAAAGGGTTTAAAATATTATAAAGTTCTGTCACTCTTTTCATATAACAAAACAATTTTAACTAGCTTTGTAATAATTTAACATATGCAATGCAATGCTATAAATTCCAAACAAAAATATACAGAGCCATAACTTTACTCTGATATGATAAAATGAAAAATATAAATAAATGAAATCTTGGTGGTGAAAAATTGAAAATGTGTCTCTTTTATTAGCATAGATTACACTACATTAATAAATAATGTATCACTTTAAAACCAAATTTTCAATTTTGGAGCTCAAATACTTAGAATCATAACAAGAAACATAGATGAGCCCAATCTCTCTCTTACGGAGACAAATTCCATGAGAGAAGAAAACTAAGTGAGGAACAAGTGCCACGTGACAACATACTCAATTTTTTTAATGGAAAGTTCAACCATCTGGTATGTTTTTTTTTTTGGTCCCATACATACCCATATACCTAGAAGTCTAGAAGCATTTACAATTTGTATACATTGAAAAATAGGATCAAATTTGAAATTTTAACTGAATTAAATAAAAATTGATCAATAATATTATTTTTTGGCCCAAGCATCTGTGGTCTAGTGGCAGAGGAAGCTTTGAGAAAAGGTGAAACTCCCAAACCTGAGTTCGATTCTCCTTGGAAACAAAAACACATTTGTTTGGGAAGTCTGTCAGTTGGGCTTTGGCCCAATTGGTTTACCTGGTAGTCAGAAATGCAGGCGGCCTGACTACTCCCTGGCACTTAGTCGGAAGGCATTCCAAACTCGGGATAGGCAGAGTGGTAGCCCGTAAGGGCCTAACCGTTAACACGGTGCACCAGTCCACTATGTAGCACCACGGTGCGTTCCTACCGGGGCCGACCGGATAGCCGATAGGGTTTATTAAAAAAAAAAAAAATTATTTCTTAGTATCAGACCTATCGGTTTAGATGCCCGATTAACTTATATACTGTATATAATACTAGTATCCTAAAAAAAAAAATACTAGTATCTTTTAATGAAAGATATGCTGTAAAACTTTACAAAAAATAGCTAACACAAATTAGTGCCTAGATATAGCCACCGAGTTAAATTTTGAGAAATTTCAACTGAAAAAAATGAAACTAAAAAACGAAAAAAAGAAGACAAAAGTAATTGTCCTGCTGTCAAGAAATGCCCATATTATTATTATTCATCCACACAAGACACGTACGACCATGCCTCTTAGTGATTTGTCATTGGCCCACTTCCCATCCTAGTGGATCAAATTGATAATAAATACTATTATAAATACCAAGAATTCAAATAGAAACCGGCAAATCAATTAATAGATATAAAAACTTAAAAAGGATATATAAACCGTCAACATTTTCTATTGGAGCAGGGAGAGCCAATACAATTCGGATCTCACGATATTATGAAGTTCTCTAATTGGTTCTTTGCATAAAAACTTAAACCTAACTAATGGTAGAACCGTAGAAGAATACTTTCGCAAAGCAACAAACATATCAGATGAGATCGTAAGCTATCCACATCACTTGTTAATTGTCCTCAAACCATATTATATAATGCATACAAATTTATGGTGTAAAATCCTTACGTATTTATTCTCTATAAGAGTAAAACAAACTAATGAAGGCATCGGATTTAATTGGATTTATATTTACCAGTAGAAATACTTGTGATGTTGTCGGTCGTTGGCTAAGTATTTCTTATAAATATATAAGAAATATTTGCAATTAAAATCGTTTTACATCACATACACTCACTTATGAGAAACAAATATAATAAAATGGGATAATTACAAGAACAACAAAAGAGAGAGAGACCTTTTTCAAAAAAAAAAAAAACAAAAGAGAGAGAGATATTCCAAATTCATAAATCTATCGAGCTTCTTCTTTTCTTCTTTTCTATATATACGGAGAATAATCCTCATAGCATTTGTCCAAAAAAAAAAAAAATCCTCATAGCAATACACATTTTTCTTATAAAAGAAACATAGGATAAGATTGAAGAAAGAAGAATAAAAACGTTTGGAAATGAAAAATAAATCCTACGACAGAAAAAAACTAAAAAGAAGATATAAATAACTGTTTATATAATTTTAAAAATCATATCATTAACGAAGAATAACAATCAGATTTGGAGTGGATTTTTTTTGAAAAAAGAGACAACATTTAGCATCAGTAGGATCTTAACATGGTTATCAGATCTAATAATTTGTATATATATTTATTTTTTTTCATATAGTTATTATCGTTACTATAGTATTATAATTTAAATTTAAGCATCAAAACTCAGGGGGGATGAACTTCGCTAAAATGATGTCAATATCTCACGTGGACCCTTTATCCAATCCCTGGCCCACACATGGGTCCCACTTCCCCATGCACACAGCCCACAACATATTCATTTCTATATTTGTTCCTATACTCTTATTTCTTTTGTTACATAAATAATAAAAGGGATACTAACTTATAAGGAATAGTAAGATTGGGGGAAAAAAAAAAAAAAAGGAATAGTAAGATTATTATTGTTTCATGTGTTTTCTTCTATAAGTAACATCAACAGTTCATGAAATAGACCCTAATATAGTAACCTAAATTAAATGCCGTATATTTCAATATGTTTCCACGAAGCTTCCTTTGTGTTTTTTGAGTTGACCCATTACACACACCCATATTACTTCCCATACACCTGCCCATATACTATAATGACTCCCCTCAAACACGCATTCTTACAAATATATTTTTTGTTCTTACAAAAAAAAAAGTGAAAATAAAATAATAATATCAGAAGTGACACTTGCTGTTTCTTATTTCGCTCCCCTCAAGCTCCCTCTCCTTCTTTCTATATATATTATACACACACACGTATACACATATACACAACATAATTCACAACACAACACAAACACATTTCTGATTTCTACGTTGTTTCAAAACATCAAAAAAAAAAAACAAAAAATCTCAGATTAAATGGAAGTGAGTAGCGTAGACGAGAGTACTACAAGTACAGGTTCCATCTGTGAAACTCCGGCGATAACTCCGGCGAAAAAGTCGTCGGTGGGTAACTTATACAGGATGGGAAGCGGATCAAGCGTGGTGTTAGATTCAGAAAACGGCGTAGAAGCTGAATCTAGGAAGCTTCCGTCGTCGAAATACAAAGGTGTGGTGCCGCAACCAAACGGAAGATGGGGAGCTCAGATATACGAGAAACACCAGCGCGTGTGGCTCGGTACATTCAACGAAGAAGACGAAGCTGCTCGTGCCTACGACGTGGCGGTTCACCGGTTCCGTGGTCGTGACGCAGTCACAAATTTTAAAGACGTGAGGATGGACGAAGACGAGGTCGAGTTCCTGAATTCTCATTCGAAATCTGAGATCGTTGATATGTTGAGGAAACATACTTATAACGAAGAGTTAGATCAGAGTAAACGGCGTCGTAACGGTAACGGCAACATGGTTAGGACGATGTTAACGTCGGGGTTGAGTAATGATGGTGTTTCGACGACGGAGTTTAGATCGGCGGAGGCACTGTTTGAGAAAGCGGTAACGCCAAGCGACGTTGGGAAGCTAAACCGTTTGGTTATACCGAAACATCACGCGGAGAAACATTTTCCGTTACCGTCAAGTAACGTTTCCGTGAAAGGAGTGTTGTTGAACTTTGAGGATGTTAACGGGAAAGTGTGGAGGTTCCGTTACTCGTATTGGAACAGTAGTCAGAGTTATGTTTTGACTAAAGGTTGGAGCAGGTTCGTTAAGGAGAAGAATCTACGTGCTGGTGACGTGGTTAGTTTCAGTAGATCTAACGGTCAGGATCAACAGTTGTACATTGGGTGGAAGTCGAGATCCGGGTCGGATTTAGAAACGGGTCGGGTTTTGAGATTGTTCGGAGTTAACATTTCACCGGAGAGTTCCAGAAACGACGTCGTAGGGAACAAGAGAGTGAACGATACTGAGATGTTATCGTTGGTGTGTAGTAAGAAGCAACGCATCTTTCACGCCTCGTAACAACTCTTCTTCTTTTTTTTCTTTTGTTGTTTTAATAAAACAAATTTAATTCCACTTTCGTTTTCTTTATCTGCATCGGTTTCTTCTTTTTTTATACCCAAGGTTCATGAGTTGTTTTTGCTGTATTGATGAACTGTAAATTTTATTTATAGGATAAATTAAAAAGGGTTGTACTTAGAATTTCTCAAGAGTTTCATAAGCATGAGATGATGAGAATGTTTTTACCAAATCTTACCTTGTTTCTTTTCATTTTATGTGTATGGAACTCGTATTTATATGTACGCATTACTGCTTATGGTATTTGCTGCTTTTTGTATGATGATTTGGAGAGTTATTAGAACGTAATATTACAGAAAAAACAAACTTCAACAAAAAAGAACAGTTTGCAGGGTCTGAAACGTATAACCGTATGATATGATAGACCATATACTCCGATCCAAATAATCAAAAAGAAAGATATTAAAAAAAAAAAAAAACCAATGTTATAATTTAAGCTTTTGTAAGATATTATTTTAAGCTTCAGAAGATATTTTTGGTAGAGATCGATTCATGTTGCTGTTAAATAATACTTCCTCCGTTTCATAATATAAAGCGTTTTGGATAAAGTTTTTTGTTTTACAATATAAGTCGTTTTCGAGTTTCGATACAAATTATATATTATTTTAATATTTTATGATTATTTATATTATGCAGTCTCTTTTATGATTGGTTAAACTTTTAAAAAATAGATCTTCTTAGTCGACATGTTTTTACTTAAAACGAGTTATATTATGAAACGGATGGTGTATATATCTATCTATAATTCTATAAATCTATTACTTTTTCGGCTTAACAACTCAATATAGATATTTTGTTTGATCAAAAAGAGAAGATATTTGTTTCTTAAAGTGTTTAAGTTTTCTTTCTTTCTCTGGTTGCGATTATGCGTATCTTTAGATTCTCAAACTAAAGGTATAGGGCGTATAGCTATAATTTCGAACGAAAATGAGTTAAAACGATTAACATTAAAACTTTTTTAATATCTTACGAAATGGTATACTATATGATATGAGTTAGAGTTTGAACATATGATGATAATAGTACACCTGCGGCATACATTAGTTATAGAATGTACCTACATAAAGGAATATATTGACCATTGATCCTATGAATGTTCCGTTCATATGCACTTTTTTTTCAATACAATTCGGCGGACGATAACATTATTCCATTATAGCATAAAATCCTATTATACGTACAATTAAAAACGCCAACGCAATCTTACTTATAGTTTTGTCTAAGACACACCCACACATAATTCAAGTTGCATTCAAGTAGTAATACATCAGTAGATTAGTGTATTAGTGAAAATTACAATGGCTAGAAGACCTAAGCACCATCAAATAATCCTTATTATTTCATCCATATTTTCTATGATTTCTGTGGATCCATTTAGATATAGAAATCTAAAAATTTCATATACCATTTAGCAAAACACAAATTTAATCATATACTCCCTCCGTTTCATAATAGAAGTCGTTTTAGTTAAAACACGCCGATTAAGAAGATCTACTTTTTAAAAGTTCAACCAATCATAAAATAGACTGCATAATATAAATAAAACGCCTTATATTATTAAACGGAGGGAGTAGTTACTAATTTAATAGTATATCTCCTTTTAATTACAAGATGTCAAGAACCATAATTCTAATAAAATAGATATATGAACATAACAATGTCTTAAAAATAATATGACCGATAGAATATTTATTCACATTTCGTGTAAGAAAATATTATTTTTTTAAAAAATGTTTCATAAGAAAATCAATTTAGGTTCTCACCAAAAAAAAAAATTATTTAGGTATCTTATTATAATTCAATACTTCAGCGATTGCGAATGCAGCTGCGATTGTAACTGCGATTTTAATATCGCGGGATGTTGTTCGTTTAGCATTTCTACGATTGATCGCTACGACTAATCGTCATTTAAAAATTTTCATCGCTAATTTTTTTTATGATAAAAGATTTCAGTCGCAAGTCGCTGCGACTGATCGTGCGACTAGTCGCAAAATCTTCAACTATCAAACGAAGAATTTTCAGCCGCAGATACAGTCGTATACCTCTTGCGACTGTCAAACGAACGGCACTAAAATCCTATTTTCATAAAAAAAAAAAAACCCCATATGGCATAAAGTAGCCCATGTTTGATCAAACCATATACAGGCCAAATGGGCTTAAGTCCATTAGTAAATTGTGTCGATTAAAAATATATATATATATATATATATTTTTTTTAATATCAAGAAACGTTGAAATTTATCGATTCGCTGCAAAATTTTGATGTTTTGGGTTAAGCAGTGAAGTTTGCGAAAATGGCGTCTTCAGTTTTTCTATCCAGTTTCTCGTCATCGTCTTCTTTGCAACTTTCTTCTTCCTTTAACGGCGACAACTTAGCGCCGTCGAGGTGCTTTATCGGAGCTCCGGTCACTTCCTCTTCTTTATCAATCTCCGGTTTGTCATTTTACTTGGCTCTGTTTTCTTCGTTTGCTCTGTTCGTTATTCAAAACTTTCTATGGATTCTAGCCTCGTTTTTATTGGAAGATAATGAAACTATTGGTTATCTGATTGGAAATTTTGAAACTTTGAATGTTGTATAATTGAAGAACTTTGGTGTATGAAGTTTATCTTCTCTCATATCTGCAGGTAAGAAGAACTCATATTCTCCGAGAAAATTCTACATTTCTGCTAAGAAAGTTTCTGGGTTAGAGGAAGCCATTAGAATCAGAAAGTAATTAACTTTGTTTAACTCTCTTGTATCAAAAAAATGCAATCTTGATTGGATTCAAGTATTTTATTTCATTTCTTGGTGATAGAGCTATTAATATATTAATTTGATTTACATTTTTTTTTAGAATGAGAGAGCTTGAAACTAAATCAAAAGTTAGGAGAAATCCACCATTAAGAAGAGGAAGAGTATCGCCTCGTCTTCTTGTACCTGATCACATTCCAAGGCCTCCATATGTTGAGTCTGGTGTATTACCTGATATATCAAGTGAGTTTCAGATTCCTGGTCCTGAAGGCATTGCGAAAATGAGAGCTGCTTGCGAGCTCGCTGCTCGGGTTTTAAACTATGCTGGAACTTTGGTTAGGGTAAGATTTTAGGTTCCTTTTGGATCTCTTGTTTTCTATATTATACATATATGGTCTGAGTTGTTGTTTATATGGTTCTTGCAGCCATCTGTTACGACCAATGAAATCGACAAAGCTGTGCATGATATGATTATTGAAGCTGGTGCTTATCCTTCTCCTCTTGGATATGGTGGATTTCCTAAAAGTGTGTGTACATCAGTTAATGAGTGTATGTGTCACGGAATACCGGATTCTCGCCAGCTACAGGTCCTTAAGTGTGCTTTTTACTGTTTTAAGCCGACTGGCTTTTGTAGGAATTCATATGTTTTATCAGTAACTATTACCTCTTAATGCAGAGCGGGGATATAATAAACATCGATGTCACGGTTTACTTGGATGTAAGTCTACTTTCACTTTGTTTGATTTCTACATACAACTTGTATCATCTTTCATTTATTGCATTTTTGGTGGGGTTTGAAACTTCAACAGGGTTACCATGGAGATACATCGAAAACTTTCTTTTGCGGAGAAGTTGACGAAGGTTTCAAACGACTTGTGAAGGTAGTATTCTTCTTCTTCACTATGTTTTCTCTTCAAGTTCATGGATTCTATTTTAATATACTAGTTGTTTTTGGTTTATTGTTCGGTAAGGTTACGGAAGAATGCTTGGAGAAAGGTATTGCCGTTTGTAAAGATGGAGCAAGCTTCAAGAAAATCGGGAAAAGAATCAGGTAGCAACCAAAACCTTCTTGATCCAATATAACCGTAGAAATGGATTATTAGAGGACATTAGAGACAATGCTGCTAGACCAAACAATCTCAATGGTTTTCAATTTCCAACAGTGAGCATGCGGAAAAGTATGGCTACAACGTTGTGGAGCGGTTTGTTGGGCATGGTGTTGGACCAATATTCCACTCCGAACCCCTTATTTATCATTACCGTAAGTAATCTCTTTCTTAACAAAGTCGCTATTATGTTAGGAAAACGTTTCAGCTTTTGTAAATCTATAATGTAAGCTGGAAGCATCAATCAACAACAGTAGTTGGCGGCATATGCATATGCAATCATGATTGTATCCGTAAATGCCATGTCTTTCGTCAAGAATCCGTCTTTGGTGGCTCATTTTCTATCAAATTTGCAGGAAATGATGAGCCTGGACTTATGGTTGAGGGACAAACTTTCACAATTGGTCAGCTATTTTTCCCCCTTACATGTCATGGTTTTCATTTTCTTATGATTAGTTGATTACTATATACTATGAATACATTCTGTTGCAGAACCGATTCTGACGATTGGAACCACGGAATGTGTAACATGGCCAGACAACTGGACTACTCTGACAGCAGATGGTGGCGTCGCTGCGCAGTTTGAGCATACCATTCTGATTACTAGAACTGGTTCAGAGATTCTTACCAAATGCTGAACTTATTCACATTGATCATTTCCATTTCACCTTAATTTTAATTGCTGCTCCTTTAAGGTCCATAGTATAAATTCATTATCTTTGAGACCATAGTCTTAACAATTTGTGTTAGTGCCATCGGTTAAGATCTCAAGATTAGTTTGCTATTTAAAATTTCCCCACATGGTTCCCTCAAGTCTTTCTTTATCCCATGAATTCCCATTTCACAACAATTATATGTGACTCTTCTTTTTTTCTGTCTTTTTGTGTTTAATTTTCTAGTTATTTTAGATTTTTTCTTGTTGAGAGTTGAAGCTGAGACCCACTTTCCCATATTTACGCACATGCCTCCTCAATTCATCATCATTGATCATCAGTCATCACGATCAAAAATGCATAGTACATAAAGTATCCATTAAAACGAAGATCTAGTCTCTCTCACAACACAAAACTTCAACTAATATCGCAAATATCAGTTTCTCTTTGTATAAGTGTTTATTACATTAAAGTAAACCAACTCAGGCAAGTCTATGATCATGGCTTCTTCTGCTGCTGCATCGATCTCTTTGATAACTCTAAGGAACCTCTCTCGCAATCATCAATCTCACCTAAGCTCTCTTCTTGGTTTCTCTAGATCCTTCCATAACCAAAGGATCTCATCTAACGGTCCAGGTTTCTCCAAACGAGCAAGATCCACCACTTCCTCCACTAAAGTTTTCTTCAGAACCATTTGCAGCAGCAGCAGCAGCGACAACTCCAGACCAAGTAAGTAAAATATATGATCCAATCAAATTGACCTTTTATGCTAAGAACCAAGTACCCATTTCTTGATTTGAGCAAATTAACATCAAATTGACCTTTTATGCTAAGAACCAAGTACCCATTTCTTGATTTGAGCAAATTAACATCAAATTTGGTATAAGAACAAAAAAAGAATCGACCTTTAAGCTCAAAATCAAGTACCCATTTCACAAAAACCGATTTATTATATCTCAGCTAAGATCCAAGAGCTTAACGTGTACGAGTTCAACGAAGGTGATCGAAACAGTCCAGCGGTTCTAAAACTCGGAAAAAAACCAGATCAGCTTTGTCTCGGCGATCTTGTCCCCTTCACAAACAAACTCTACACCGGAGATCTCACAAAACGCATAGGAATCACCGCAGGTCTCTGCGTTTTGATCCAACATGTTCCAAAGATGAATGGTGATCGCTTTGAAGCTTCTTACAGTTTCTACTTCGGAGATTACGGTCACATATCAGTACAAGGACCTTATCTCACTTATGAGGACACGTTTCTTGCTATCACCGGTGGCTCCGGCGTCTTTGAAGGAGCGTACGGACAAGTCAAGCTTCGTCAGCTTGTGTATCCGACGAAGTTGTTTTACACTTTTTACTTGAAAGGTGTTGTTGCTGATTTGCCGGTGGAGCTTACCGGGAAACATGTGGAGCCGTCGAAGGATGTGAAACCGGCGGCGGAAGCTCAGGCGACTCAGCCCGGCGCTACGATCGCTAACTTTACTAATTGAAATCGAATCATTGTGTGTCTGTGTGTTTCTTTGTCATGGATCTTTATTGGGCTGTTTCATTGTGTTAACATTTTAATAATGGGCCTTTGTATTGGGCTTTTTAATGTGTACTATAGAGCCGACTCGTAATGCGTATAATGTCTCTACAAAGCTGGATTTAAGCGCGTGAACTCCACCTTCCATGGAAACTTTCTGTATTTGGAAAGGTTGGCTTATTAGGCTCGTGGCCATGTTTGAGCTCAAGCTCATAAACGAATCTTTTCTTTATGTATTTCACAGAATGCTTTATTTTGTATTTTCATGATCTGAATCTATTTTAAACATAGTATGTATCTGGTATACAATTCAGTTTTTGTGTATATCATAATGAAAATTATATATTTGCTAGACGAGATTAGTTTTGATGATCACAATATTTATTCTGTTGAAAAAATAAAAAATAATTTAATAGTAGAATATATTAGTATGTACTTGTTTGCATATTTATATCCATAGACTTTGGTCATAAACTTATACTTTAATGAAGTCATGTTGAATGGAGTATCAGTCCAACACTCCAATATTCATCAGTTTGCAATTTCCAAAACGACATTTATTACTCCCGTACCTTCGAGGACCAAATTATTCAAAGTTTGAAACGAAAATTTTTACTCGATATTTTCTTTTTTATTCGAATCGAGATATATGAAGTATGACAAGTAGTCTGACAATTTAACTATTTAGCTATCTTAGCTCACGTATATCGTTTTGGTTATATAGTCTTATAGAGATTCGAAATTTATGCTTCCTCTAATTATAATAAAAGCTGTTATGCGGTTTTGGTTTTATCATATACATACAACATGTTATCATCAATTTTATCAAAAACAAAGAAAAAACAGTTATCATGACTTTCTGCAAAAATAAAATTTCGACAATTATCCTTTTTTCTTGCATATCTATGAATTAATTTTCTTGCATCTTAACTTATAAATGAAATACTAAAGAAATAAAAGAAAAATGAGTAAAAAGTAGAGAGATAGAGAGAGTGGCAGAGAAACTGAAGTAACCTAAGAGTCGTGAAATTTCTCTCTCCAAGTGTAAGATAGACAAATGTGTGTAACGTTAGACATCACTACATAAAGTGACAACAGACAGTTTCGGTCTTTGGATAAATCGAACTGCCACTTTCGACACTTTAATTACCATTATATTTTACCTCCATTATTTATCACCAGAGATGCACTCTTTAGGAGTATTCAGTATTCACTACAGCATTTTTCTTTTCTTAAAATTTGTATTATATCTATCTTTTCCTAGAACTGTAGTTTAAACGATTTTGTGTCCTTGTGTGACTTCCACCATGCTTAAGACTTAAATGTGTGTATGTGTGAGTTTGTGAGTGTGTGTTAATGATGATATTTGGTCTCCATCAAGGATGGTAAATTTCAAGGCTAGATAATTGATCTTCAGTTCACTAAAAGTATATATATATATATTTTTTCGTCTGACCTTTGATCTTAGATGTCTTGGTTACCAAACAAAAAATCTATTAAACTATACAACCAGTTGATTATTATTTATTTGATTTTTTGGGGTCAGAAGATTTACCAGAAATGCAGAAATTGTTTGTTGGAGACAACATTAGAAGCACTTACATAATCCAAAGCCACCACTACATATATTTTCGGAACTCATAATAAAAAAGGTTGCTCTTACATTCACTAGCTAACGTGACGAAGAGGTAAATACATACATATCAAGCTGCCTCACTTACATAAACCCTAATAACACCCGGCCATCGATCATAAATATGACCCATTTAGTTAGTAATTGTCATCAGAAATCTGACCATAACGACGAAAGTGATCATATCTAATCCCATAGTTCTTCTCTCCACGAACATTTTCTTCGTGAGCATCTTCTTCTTCATCATCATCATCTTCTTCCTCTTCTTCCTCCTCCTCATCATCTTCATCTGCGTCTCCAATGGCTACAACACGATCACCCACAGTGTGAGCCGCATGACCATCACCGAAAGCCTTAACGTGATCCTTAAGTGACCTCTTATGCTTAAAATCTGACCCACAAACGCAAAACCACAACTTCCCACAATTTTTCTCATGCGTTCTCCAATCGCCTCTCACCGCAAACGTTTTTTCACACTTCTTGCGGCAACGAAAAGGTTTTGCTCCGTGCTTCCGCTTGTAATGCGTTTGGAGCGTTCTAAAGTCTTTGAGAGGCTTTGATCTTGGATGGTCTATGTTGTTCTTACAACCTTCAGCACAACAGTAACATGGCAGCCTTAGTATCGAAGATGACGATTTCGTCCCGCGGAGCGATTCTGGACCTTTTCGGTATTGCGAACCATGACCCCACATATGCATCTGCAAAAGATGTGATTGAATAAAACACTTGCTCATCTCATTTTTCACGTTAAATTTTACTCATATCATCAACATTTTACTTAATTTTGAACGTGACTGCAAGATTATATCTATTCTCTTGAAGATTTTTTTTTTTTTTTTTGATAATATATATTTATCATAGTACTAATGCAGATAATAAGAGAACTTTTTCGATTGATACCCATTAAACGCAAAAGGTTATAGATTGGAAGTTAATTCCACGGGTTTTTGTTTGTTTGATACTTTAATTCAAAAACACTTTTCTATAACGATTCTAAATCAGCTTGCAACATATATTATAGTATTTATGTAGATGATATCATAATAATTAACGTGAAAGTAAAGGGAAATTTAAATCAAGAAAACTTCCTGTAAATCATTTCAAACCTGCATGTTGTTGAAGCGGTTAAAAGTTTTGTTACAGACAGAACAAGAGAACTGAGTGGGACCAACAAGGATCTGAGAAAGCGAAGGGATCCAATACTGTCCCTGCCTCGCCGTTAAACCCTCTTGGTTGTTCCCGCCGGTAAGGGTTTCTTTGTCGGAACTCGGAGGACCGATATGAAGAGCAACGGTGACGCCATTAGGGTTTGTTAATGGGTGATTAAACTCATGATCAGAAGAAGGTTTAGTACTGGTGGGTTTGATATGGCTAGGGTATGGTTGGCCAGGAGGTCCAAGTCTGAGGACGACGGAGTCTTCGTCACCGGAGAAGCTATATTGGTTATTATTATACATTGAGTAGAGAGAAAGAGAGATGAGAGAGAGATATGGGGTTTTGAGGAAATGGTGGAGAAAGACAATGGAGGCTGGACGAACTGGTAACTAATAAATGATTCTTTTTATTTTGTACTTGCTTTAGCTTTTTTCCTCCTCGTAAATTTACCTGTTACGAGTGACAAGCCCATGTTTGGTTCCAAATATCTATACATCTATTCACTTTTTACAAATTATATTTATACATTATTTAGTTGCAGTGTTTGGATGCTACTTTAACTTCTACATTTTTTTTACCTTTGGATATGAATCGATATTGAAATTCTTTTAGTCTTCATTGATGTTTTTCTTAACATACAAAGAATAGATTACAATGTATATAGACTATAGTATAGATTTCAGAATAAGATAATTATCGATAACCAAAACTTATATACAAACCTTTTCATTAATAGTAGTTTCTATTTTTTATATGAACGTATACCTTCGCAATGTAATTCTTATTAAGAAAATTTTGATTCTTTATCATACTTTACTAGATCAAGAACTATTTTTATTTTTGTCAGCAGATAGATTTTTTAAAAATATATATAATTTTAATTAAAAGGGGCTACATGTTTAACTTATGAAAGAAAAACAAAAACTACTTCCTCTGTTTTTTTAAAGTTGTCGTTTTAATTGTATTTGGACAAATTAAGTAAAGGTATACAATGACTATATTAACTTCATAAAAATGACAAGTAATTATTTACAAATAATTTGTGTTCAATAAAATGAGGATAATTTGGGTAGTTATTGACATAAATTACATTATTACCTTAAAACGACAACTAATTTTAAACAAAAAAAAGCTCTAAAACGACAACTATTCGAAAACGGAGGGAGTATAAATTAAAAAGTTGACGTGGGCATCTCTCAATATTAGCAAAGAATGTACTATTCACTTGGAACTCGCTCTCCTTTTTAGGATCTCAAAACCATTCTTTGTTTCATGATTTCTCTCTTTCAATTTCTTGTAATATATTTTATAATTTTGAGTCTGTATTTATATCTGAGTTATCATTTACTCTCCTCACAAACCAAAATAAAAGGTGAGAGTACACTCTGATACAAAAGAAAAGCAATAGACATAGAGAAACGTGGCGTTAACTGTAGATGCGAAAGCTTCTCTTTCTCTCCACTTTCATCATCTGAGTTCTGAACAACTTACTGAGATAGTGATAGTCTCAGTGATGATGATATTATTAAAGTTCCCTTTTTATTTTTTTTCCTAAATCTTTGCTGCCAAAAGTTACCCTAATATATTCTCAGACTTTTTACTTTAGTTTAAAATCTAAGGAAAGTGGGGAAGTTTGCTTATTTGCTAGTTAATAGAATTGGAATGTAAAGTTGGAAGAAAAGTGTACATTTTGTTTTGCTATAATACTACAACTAATGCTGAAGGCATGTGGTTTTAGGTTTCTCTTTGAAAGAGGTTTCCGGTTTTTTGAGTCTCGATTAGTTAAAGCTCTTAAATTTTAAAAATAGAAATCATATGCTGCGATCAAAGATACGTTTCTGAAAACATTTGACCGGCTTTCCTATATTATTAAAAATTTGAATATTTTAGGTCAAGTTCGATGAGATTTTGGATATCAGAAAACGTATAGGTTTCTCTTTTCTAATTTCGGTTTTAAATTTTCAGTTTTGCTGTTAACATTTAAATAGAAATTATATGTTTGACATAAAAGTAGGTTGATCCTATCAAACATAATATACCCATAGGTTTGTTTATATTGGCACATTGCATGTTGTCAAATTATTAACAAAAATGGGTTGTTAGGTCATATGCAACAAGTTTTTGGATTTTAGACTATTTATTAGACATTAAAAAAAATATAATGCTAAATTAACCAGACTTGCATCAAAAATTTGATTTTGGAAAATCATGGATTAAATCGAATAACTTTTGGACCCTTTTTGTTTTATTTTTCCAGTATTTGCCTTCTAAAATTGTTGTGATATTAGAAATTTGTTAATTTTTTGAATTATGCTACTAGAACGAAACATTTGGATTATATTAATTGCAACCATTTTATGCCGGTTTTTGGCTTTTGCTACATGAATGAATAAGATTAGATTAATATGGTCATGAACTGTAGGTGACTGCTCAAACAGAATCTTCGAGCCTCGAGTGTTGGTTTATAATAGTCCACGAGGCTTTGAACCGAGGTACTTTCTATTTTGATTAGACATATCGAAAGAAACCTTAAAACAATGTCGTAGAGAGAGAAAAAGAAGTTAGTAAAGAAACACACAAACATATATTATATGAAATCTTGGTCCGATCAAAGCTTTTCATTGTTTTGGTTGATTGAAGCAGTTAGATTCGGAAGCTTTAAAGGGTCCGAAGAAGAAGAGCACAAAATAGTACGACTGAAACAAAACTATAGCTCTATCATCTCCTATATCTCTCTGCTCTGTCACATTATTTATTTTAATATATGGAAAAATGAATTCTATTTTTTTTTTTGGTATTTAAATGCAAATTTGTGGAATGGAACACATGAGAGTAATTTGTCAAAGTTTCCTTTTCCTTCGTCTTGTAAGTTGTACCTCACATAACTCACAAACTCAACTCCAACATTTTCTTACTCTTTTCATATTTTTTGTATCGAAAAATATATTAAAATGAGTGCATAGTAGTATTAGTATCATTTTATTTAATACTCGAGTGAGAAAATAAAGGTACTTGATAGCCTTGCTGATGCCGGAAAAATCACGTTCAAAGAGTATGGTCATAGACTTATATTAATTTAGATTAAAAATCATTTGGCAACATTATTTATTTGGCAACTTATATTAATGGTGTTTTATTACACTGGGAAGTGAAACATTATTTATTTGTATCTTTGATTCATTTAACATGTCTGGTTAAACATGACTTGATGTTGGAATCATAGGTCAGATTAGTTGAGAAAAACCAGCAAAATCAAGAAGACTCTGTTATCCTCTAAACGACACCGTTACGGTTAACTCTTTTGTTTCACACGTACCGGTTTCTACTGTATTTGATTTAAACCGAAACATCTTCACCACACTCGAAGTCTCTCTTTCACCTAGAGGCTCTCTCCGTTTTTTGCCTGGAAGAAGAATAAGAAGAAGAGATGCGAGCAATTCACACGCAATTGAGCTCCTGGTTCGGTTGTGACTCACTGAATCCATTGGTGGTGACTGAAGACTTTGAAAAGATCGAGATGTGAATCTCCTAAAGGAACTCTTGAGGATATGCGACTCAAATTGATACACTCTATGAATATGCTATATTTTGTAGGTGTGTTGTTTCTGATTGTAGCCCAGAGTACTCCTCCTTATATGGGTTTCTGCAATTCCTCTGTTGGTTAGATGAAATATTGAATTCTGTGTTCAAAGTTAAAACCTTTACTTTGCTTTGAAGGTGTCACGGTTATTTCGAGTCGATTTTCCAGAGTTAAATACGGAGGCATTGTTCATTAGAAAAGAAGTGACCAAGTTTAGATGGAGGCCATTGTTCATTCTTAGCATTTGTATCTACTGTTTAGATAGCTTGAACTATAGCAACCTTGTTGTGTATTTGTACAACAACCTCCCAAGGAGAAAGGTTGGCAAGTAATGCCACTTTTGATCAAGAGTTGTCCAAATCTACACACTTTAGTCTTCAAGGTACTTATTGAGATTATTTTACTTGTTAGTGTTGCCCATTAATTATACATGTCAAATTGGTCTATGGTTTCAGGGTCTTGCAACCCTAAGAAGCAGAGGAAGATTGTAAAGAAAGAGGAGGCATTATGTTGTTTATTGACATGTCAAGTGAAGGTGCTTCAGATTTTAGAATATGGAGGTTCTTTTCAAGAGCTGGAACAGATGAGACGTTTCTTTGGGCAAGTTGGAACTTCTGATAGAGTGTGTTGATTATTTCAAGGCTTACAATACATGGTGCCCGTAAATTAATGCTACAACAAATCGACACCTCAGGCCATTCAAAGGGAAATAGCCATTTAAAAAAATAAAACAAGTGTATTTTTGCTTGCTTATTTAAGAGCTAAGATCTATGTATGTGTATGTTTCCTTTGTTTAAGAATTAGTCTCTCTATGTTGTTGAAGAACTATGTATCTCTTTGTTTAAGAATTAAAAACTCAGTTACCAAATATGTCTTTCACTATTTTGCTTGAGCTTTTCAGGTCAGAGAACATTATATATTGTGTATGAGTTTTTATATGATATCGATGGATACTTTGTAACTGAGCTTTCTACAAGTCAGTGAACCTCACTTTGCTCAGAACATTGTCAGCTACCTGTAACATCAAAGCTACAGGTAGTGTTTCATTAAAAAGAGTGGAGAAAGAAAAAGGAAGCTGAAACATTTGTCACAACTAATTCATTGGGCAAAATACCTCTTTGTTGCGTCTCATATCGATCACAAAATCTTACAACAGGAGGATTACAATAACATTGTTGGAGGATGGAAAGCAAAACTTTAACAGACTGCATTTGGTGAAAAAAAATTGGGATTATTCATCCGCCAACAAGAAGTAAAATTCTACGACTTCTTGAGATCAATACTATACTATAACCTTGTTCCTTGTGCAGGTAAAAAATTCATGTACATAGTAACGTGAGAGACAAGAAGTTTCAGAACACAAAGAGCCCCAAAATACTCAGTTTTTTTTTCAAGTAAAGTGTCAAAGCAGAATAGTAATACTTTCAGGGCTTGACCGATTGATTGCTATTGGTGTAAGCTACGGGTATTGTTTCATCAAGCTTGAGCTTCACCCTCTGTTCCAATAAACTCATGCAATTAAGGACCGCAATGGATTCATAACCATGCTCAAATCAACATGTCATATATAATCTGGTGCAAAACCATTGTCTTTTGGGTTATTACCTTTCTTCTGGCAACAAGAGTCTGGCTTTGCTTTTATTTCTTTTCTCAGAAGCTTTGACCGCATCAGCTTGAGAATTCCTTCTGATATGATTGCATCTCTGTTAAAGACAGAGTTGCACAAGACAATTATATCAACTATGATCTGAAAAATCTGAGAGGCAAGCTTGTAATATTGTTTACCTTCTGGACCAAAGAATCATATCGACCCCATGACCAGATGTTGTTGCTCTATCACCATGGCGTAGTACAGCCTGATCCGGTGTGTGAGAGTCACCAAACATTTCCTGCTTTAGTGAGAAAATGGTTGTTTACTTTATTACTTGAAACCATTTTGCCAATACCGGAATTTGGAATGTAATAGGAGAAAGACAAAAGCTCAAACCTCTGGCTTTGTATCTGTATTCACATCATGTTTCTTGCATCGTGTGCCTCTGAAATATAATTCCTCTCCCTCAAAATGTTTACTCAAAGACACATTCGATGTTAGTTCTGAATCATCCACATGAAAGCCTGCAGGTTAAAAAGATGATTGCTTATACTAAACCAAATTCTGTGTTTGCTATTAAAGAATCTTTACTTGGGTTTCCTCTAAGCAGATTAAGTATCACAGAATAATTTTAAAGTTTAGGAAAGATCGCAGAGAACAAGGCGGGACTCACCTAAGTCAATATCCCTATCTGTGCCATATTCAACAACAAATCCATTCTGAGAGTCAGACTTTGATCCACACACTTCCGGGAACACTGCAAAACAACAGAGAGTTTAGTGTTAACCAATAAAAAAAGTCTTTCAAATGCATTCAAGTCATATATTGCTTTGCCTTTGGAAACAGGAAAGACAAAACCCTCCATGATATTTTCAAGCATGCTATCCAGTCCAAAGTTGTCAAGCAAGGTACCGTATTTCCTCATGGTGTTTGGTTTCGTGATCTGGATCTTTGCCACATTAACCCACTCTCCGAACTTATCAACCTGATTAATCAAACAGTTGGTTTGGTCTCATGAACAAAACAAAGAGGTAAGAGCATGACATAGACTAAGTAGTAAGATGATGGGTTTTTTCACCTTTGATAGCATCATCTCATAGAATTTAGGCTGAAGCATTTCAGAGACAAATATTCCTGGAGACGATACAGAAACTACACTTCCAAAGCTTTCCACTGTGTCTCCATTGATGGCCTTCAGGAAAGAGGGGGTGAAAAAGAATGTGGGGTCAAATGTATACAACTCCCTGTAAAGTGGCTGCAGAAGGAAACATTTCAAATTTTGGAAGAAATTCCAATTTCACAAATGTGTTAAAAGAAAAACTAATTGAGAGAATCACCTCAAACATGGTCTTTAGTGTTATGGTAACATAGGGTGATGACCGTGAAGGAGCAAAAACGGCAACCTGCAAAACCATGAGCAAAAACAGCAAACATTTTGCAAGTATCAACACTACAGAAACTCGTATATCTCCTCCACAAGGGTAAACAAACGTTTCCTGCTTCAGTGAGAAGTGGAATGTAAAACGAAAAAGAAAAGAGCTCCTCAACACACCTCTGACTTTGCATCATATCTTTTCCCAATGTTATTGTAACTTGCGCCTTGGAAATATAATTCCCCTCCCACAGATTGTTTACCCAGAGAAACATTCAATGTTACTTCTGAATCATCCACATGAAAGCCTGCAGATTCCATTGGAGAATTCACTCTAGTATTCTCTAAGGAATGATGGCCAGAAAACATAAGCAAAGTCAAGGAAAGGGGTTCACCTAAGTCTACATCCCTAGATGGACCACATTCAGCAACAAATCCATGGTGAGAGTCTAGAGTTGATCCACACACATCAGCAAAGTAAACTGAAAAACAAGGAAGGTTAGTTTTACTGGACCTAGTTAAATGGGGTTACCCCATAAAAGTAATAAGTCATAACGTATCATGTTGCCTTGCCTGTGGAAACAGGACAGATCAAACCCTGTCTGACTTTTTCCAGGCCAAAGTCGTCAAAGACAGAACAGCATTTACTCATGGTGTTTCCAGAGGCAACAATATCCTTGCCTCTGCCTTGTCTCCTAGTCGTAGGTGGCTTGGTCTTACCAGTATTTGAATTTGGGATTACATGAGTAGAAACTTCTCTGATCTCTTTCCCTTTTTCCTCACCACCATTCGGGTCTTCATCAGGTTTGGGCCGTTTCTGTTTTGGCGTTTTAGGAGGGAGTTTTAGGCGTAGAGCTCCTTCGACCACCAACGAGAGACAGTAGAGGGAAAGATCTCTATACTGGTAGAGAAAGAGTTTCCATGCGTATCTCTTCTGTCCCTCTGCATCAAGTGGTACATTTATGGTCAAGCCAGTAATAGCGACCTCTTGGCCATTAATTTGTCGTTTAAGGCGAGGGTTTGGTTTCCACTTGATCCGTTGGGCCTTGTCATATGTGATGTAAAGGGGAGGAGGTGTGGCAAAAAATAAGTAGTCTCGGCTCCCTTCGTGATCACGAAGAGCTGTGGGGAAGAGGTCCTCGTTTTCCCAAGGAGGTTTGGTGAAGACACTGCTGGTTTCTAGAGTAGCAATGCCAACGTCTATCCCATCCGCTTTAAGCTTCACGGTCGTGCAACAAAGCTCATCTCTTTGAACTTTGTTCTCATTTAAACCGTCATAAACATGAAATGCTGCCTTCTTCTCAGACCATTTTGAAGAGAGCTTTTTATGGCCACGACAGCAGTAATGTTTGTTGTCAGCGAAAGTCTTCTCTCGAGGAAGCGTGCAACCGACCAATGCACAAGACTCATGATAGTGGAAATGCGATTTGAAGAGACCCGGTACAGCATTTCTCTCTAATAGGATATTGGTAAGGTTCACCTCTATGCCTGCTAGAGTGCCGAAATTTTGTATTTGTCGTGCAACATCACTCTCAACATCAAGGTCGTTTGTTTGATCATCGTTACCCTGTGAAAGAGAAACAGAGGAGAGGAGGTGACATATTAAACTTAGACTTGGGCCCAAACAAAAATACCAACAAACAAAACAAAAGGCCCAAAAAGAATCGTAAGCCTTTAATTTAATGGTTGAAGTTGACCAAAAACCCTAAGTCATATCTTATATGGTTCGAGAATCGTGTAACCCCTTTGGTTTTGGTCTCCATTGATAATGATTTGACCAAACCCAATCAAAAATCCAAGGGACCAAAAGACTAAGCCGTTCATATTCTATGGTTCGAATCGTAACCGTTCTTTCATTTTTGTTCAGATCGTAATCGTAACGATAAAGCTCTAAAACCTCCATCGTAACCCTAGAAGGCTAAAACCTCCTCCATCTGTAACCCTAAAACTCTAAAACCTCCATCGTAACCGTTCTTTCTTTTCGTTCAAGTTGGAAAATTCAGTTCCTAAAACTCTAAACCGCCATCGATTGATCTAAAAGGTTCGAAGGAGAGGGAGGAAACTCACGGCGGGATGATCAGGCGGCGGAGGATCGCCTCTTACTCTCTTCTGCGGTGATTCTTCCACAAGATCCTGATCCATGGTAGAATAGGAGAGCGAGCGAGCGAGAGAGAGCGTAACGAAGAAGCAATTCGCTTTTTGAGAAGGAGAGAGATGAAGAAGCAATTAGTTGCGGAGAGAAATGAAGTTGCAATTTGGCTGGAGGCGTTTATTAATGATCTGATGCACATGTAAGTGATCTCTCTCGCATTTTAGTCTTTGTGTTGGGTTGAGATTTTGTATTGCGTGCTTTTCCCTAGGGAGATCTTTCTAATATTTCCTCTCTCAGGCTCTTTTTTTGAATTTTGAGGCGGTTCCGTCTAGTACAAAGGAGTGTGGCTTTGGCTGTACCTGACCGGATTTTGTAGGTAACTTTAAGGCAGAGGAGTGTGGCTTTGGCTGGACCTGACCGGATATTGTAGGTGACAATGTATGAAGCTGCAACACAAGTGCAGGTAGAAAGGAGACTCGATCTTCTTGTTAAGAAATCTTGGTTTTTTAGTCAGTTTACTCTTTTTATGTTATGTTCATTTTGCCGAAACAGAGCAGACATAATCCTGAGCCGGTTTTTGATCAGGCCTCTCTAAGAGACTCCTTCCTACTTGAGCCGGATTTATCGGATTCGTTTGGTTTTTTTACTTGGTTTGCTCTTTTGTTTCTTTCCAGAAATTTTGTCATTGTAATGTTGTTCATGATTCCTTGCTCCACCCTAATAAAATTGTTACCATTCTTTTCCCTGCAATCTTCATTAGAATCTGTCAAGAGTTTGTCTCCGATTCCTTGACTAGTTTGTTGCTCTACTTTTGGGTATTTATACGGATAAACGTCTATTCAAGATCCATGAATAAACCTTCCAAGTTCAAATACAGACCCAATACCAACTCAATAAAGCCTAAGATACTAATACTCTCCACCACCAAATCAACTGGTTTGGCCTTGGTCTCTGAGAGTGCTCCACCTCCTTGGAGATCTTTGTCTAACAAAGCATGCACACACAATGTTCTCTAGCTATTTCTCTTGTCGGATCTCCACAAACACAGAGAAAAAGCTAACACATACCAGCAGACTAATATAGGATCTTGATTTGTACTAACCATAAACTAAAAGTTCACAGGAAGAAGAAAAACGCATAGGTATTATTGTACATCTTCCAGAAAGAGATTTAATGATATTATAGTGATATAACCATATACTACTATACATGCTAAGTTACTTTCACATTCCCACGTCAAAGCGAAAAAGACCAAGGAAAGAAAAGGTCAGACGAATTGGATGTTGTTGCACTTTGGTGAAAGTCTGGAGAGAGTCCTCAGATTAGCTCGCAAGAACTCAGTGTTGTTGTCGTTGTCCGCAGCAACACCAACTTTCACAGTTTCAAGACACTCCAACTTGCCCAAGAAGTGTCTCATCTGTTTCAGCTCTTGAAAAGAACCACCGTACTCTGAAATCTCTAGCACCTTCACTTGACATGTCCATAAACAGCATAATTTCTCCTCCTCCTTCACAATCTTCCTCTTCTTCTTTTTCTCATGCTTCTGCGTCTTAGGGATGCAAGCGCATGCGTCTCCGCATTTATTTGTTACTCTGTGTACAAGACCCTGAGACCAGAGACCAATAATTAATGGGCAACACTAACAAGAAAAAGGAGTCTCAAATAAGTAAATTTAATAATAATACCTTGAAGACTAAAGTGTGTAGATTTGGACAACTCGTGAGGAGAAGTGGCATTACTTGCCAACCTTTATCATTGTTACTCTCAATAGATAAATTAAGGAGGTTGTTGAACATGGGCATGGATTCACAACAGAAATGAAACGCCTGAATTTATAAAAGTGAGCGACCTTGCTAGCTAGTAGTAGATTGATTCTAATCCTCCACAAACCAAAACACAATCAATAGAAAAAGAAGAAGAACTGACCTCAAGGGAATCGGGAGACAAGTGAAGGGTCGTAATGTTGCTTATACCTGCAACTAGATTTGTAATATCACCAAATATAGCCGGTTCATCATCATAATAGTAACCATAATAGTCATCATCTTCATCAGAATAATCATAATCTTTAGTTGAGTCCCATAACCGGAGACTCAGCCTGACTTCGACAAGCGAACCCAAATCAGTTAACTCATAATTTTCAGAGACATAACTAGAATAGTCAAGGTAAAGAAGACTTGCTGCTTTGAAATAAGTTACATCGTGATCGTGTTTAGAACCCGGAAGATTGACAGAAACCACAAGTCGCTTGATGGATGCACTTTCCACACCTACACCGCAACATGGCATATCCCAAGAATCAGCTTCACATATGAACAGTTCTTCCAGTACAGGGCAGCCATCGATGAGCCGACAAAAGTTGGGATGATCAAGCCTTGAAGTTAAATATAGAGTAAGTGATTTGAGCGCTGGGAAAAACACGCGTTTGGCTTGAAGAGCATATCCACCGGATAGTGTGAGCTTGACCAGTGTATTGCTCGTGAACAAATCTGTCTCTATATCAACACCACCAGTATAGGCGTGCAAGTGTAGTTCCAGTAAACCACGTTCCATTGCAGTCCATATCCAACGTTGGTATGCATCGTAACGGTCAGGTGTAGGTATATGACAGAGAGATAATTTCTTAATGTGTGAATTGCCTAACAGAGCAAATGTCTTGTCTACGAAATCAGAGAAGCTATGAGAACCACTTAAAGCTTCTTCTTCGTTGAGATACACAACCATCGAATCATCAAAGCAAAGGTTATCTACAAGACTCAGCAGATTCCTCCACCTCTTGGACAGAACTGATGTGGAAGCAGCCTCTTTTGTCGGAAGCAAAGACAAGATTTTGCCAAGTACCTCATCTGGCAAATTGCTTATCGAAGAACTCATGAGGGATTCAACTGTATACTCGATTAGAGTCACAACAACAACAAGTTCCTTGTATTGAATTGAACAATAGAAGCCTTCGACTCTCTCTATAAAGAAAAAACAAAAACCCAAAATCAAAGATGGATCCTTTAAATCGAAGGCGAGAATAAAATTCAGGATAAGGAAGACAAAACACACACCTTACTCCTACTGAATCTTAAAATCGAAGCCGAGAAAGTTACGACGGCAGGGGAGGAGACGGAGGAAGATCGAAAAGCGAGAGAGACAGAACGGTGTCGTTTAGATGATATAACACACTAACAGAGTCTTGGTATAAATCGAGTCTTGTAATGCGTTTCTTTGAGAGGCTTTGATCTTGGATGGTCTATGTTGTTCTTACAACCTTCAGCACAACAGTAACATGGCAGCCTTAGTATCGAAGACGACGATTTCGTCCCCCGGAGCGATTCTGGACCTTTTCGGTATTGCGAACCATGACCCCACATATGCATCTGCAAAAGATATTCAGTATTGCGAACCATGACCCCACATATGCATCTGCAAAAGATATTCAATCACTTGGTCATCTCATTTTTCACGTTAAATTTACATATCATCAACATTTTACTTTATTTTGAACGTCACTGCAAGATTATGGTATAGCTTTAAGATTATGGTATAATCTTAAAGCTAGCACGAACGGAGGGTCGTGTTGACTAAGTCTAGACGACAGTCGTGTTTACAAGCAAGGGTTCATATTCCAGGTAAAGGGAGCGATTCGGGCCTCATTGCCATCTGTGTTGCTCAACCTACTATTAGGAACTGTGAACCCCGGCGAGTATTATTGACTGCCGTGTTCGATCGTCGTATTGACGGACCACTTATGCTAACCTTAAGAGAACAATACAGAATCGCGACTGTGTTTAGAATAGAAAGAAACAAGGTTTATGAAGAAGTTAGGAAGTCTGGAAAACTTAGAGATAAGTTAGAGAAACATTTAGAGAGAGAAAGCTATTATGAAATTTTATGATATTTCAAGTTGTGATTTCTTACAAGGGGTACACACTTATTTATAGGAGGATTTAAGGCGCTGACATAAGCGCTTACCTCAGCGATACATCATCGCTTACATCATTGCTTACATAATCATTACATCAGCGATTACATCATCGCTTACATCATTATTTATTTTACATGATTTTAAACATATCATATTATATTTTATATTTTTCATACCGTTTAATGATCCATTTCGAACTCCAGCATATGTTCTTCGCAGCATCCATAATGATCATCTGGACATTCATACGAGTCTTCAATCATTCGTGCATCTTCTCCTGGTTGAACATTTATGTAGAATTTGAACTTTTCTTCGATATCTTCAACATTTACTTCATCATCTGGGGATTGAGCGTCTTTGAAGTAATCGGCACAGTAATTTTGAGAAGTCACCTGGGGAGTTGTCTCTTTTTGTTTATCTTCTTTTGGACTGCTTGGTCTTCCTTTGTTGAACTTTATCATGTGATACTGTAAATCTTCATCAAATTGCATCTGATAGTCGACCGGATAATAAACCCAGTTGGGTATGAACGGAATGGGGAACGTTTGTCTTGCATTGTTGAGGTGAAACGCATGAGTTTGAAAGTTCTCGTATGCTTCGTTATCTTGAAGGTTGAAATCTGGACGAACTCCTCTCGAAAAATCACCGTGATGAATAAGAGTTGGAAGAGCGAGGATTTTGCTTGTTTTGCGGTTGACCTTAACGGGACGATGAAAGAAGTAGATTGAATGTGGATTGAAGAATGGGTTGAGTCCACCTTTCTTCAGCTTCTTGAATGTTAGATTTGTCGCATTTGCGGATCTTCGTAGTTTTCCACTCCAGACAGTCAATGGTGAAAAATACCTTAGGAACGTTGAGAAGCTGTCTCTTTTGTCTTGAACAGTGTTGACGTAGTGGTACAGCCATTGGATGTCGAAAGCAATTCCTACAGTGTAGACGGCACAGAGATACCAGAGGAAACAGAGAACTTCTTCTGGCATGTTTGAATTTTCGATCCTGTAGAGATGTGCAAACGGATAGTCAGGATGAATTCCCATTGGAGCAATGTGGTGACAGTTTACTCCATAGTTCGACAGGATGGTAGATTGATATGAAAAGATCTTTGTGCGTAGTAGTTCATGAAGCTTGTTTCTGCTGATGAGTTGATGAACATCTTCGGGTACGTCTGCTTCAAAGTCATAGTAGCTTTTCTTGGATTCGGAGGAGCTGGCCATCATATGTATCTCGTAGGGCGTTTCTTGTTTTACTGGTTTTCGACTTAGCATGTCTGCTAAAGTGTTCTTGGTGCCCTTTAAATAGACTGACTCGATATCGTACTTTGAGAACCATTCACTCCATCTTAGTAGCTGCTGATGTGGGACCATCTTCTGCTTGAACTGCAACATCTTGGGAAATGAAGACATATCCATTTCTATACGAAATTTATGTCCTATTAGATGAAATTCAAACTTCTCGATAGCCTTTTTGACCGCTAAAATCTCTTTGAACGTTGAGTGATAATGTTGCTCTGAATCTTTGAAACGACCACTCTTGTATCCACAGATTTGCCTTTTCCCATCTATCTCTTCAAACAGTATTGCTCCCCAATACTTATCGCTAGCGTCTGTCTGTAGAATACGCATGCCTAAGGAGGGAATCTTTAAAGGAGGTAGCTTTTGCACTTCTGCTTTTAGACTTTTGATAGCTTCAGTTTATCGTGATGCCCACAAAGGAGGGTTTTTCGACAACATCTTCTGTAGAGGTCTTGTCATTCTGGAAAGGTGTAGAATGAAGTCTCCCACATAATTGATTACGCCAAGAAACTGCTGGATTTGTCGCCTTGTAAGATTTTCATCGGGAAAATCTAGAAGTTCTGTAGCTAAATGGGCCTGTGGTATGAAACTTCCTTCTTTGATATGCATGCCAAGAAAATCAATGTTGGGCTGGGCTATTATCATCTTTCTGGCTAATAGCATGATTCCGTTTTTCTTGACGATGTCTTGAAACTGTTGTAGCGCCTGAATATGCTCTTCTTCATTCTTCGAGAAGATGAGTATGTCATCAATGTATATAAGAGCTGTGTGTAACAACGGCTCGAATATACGTAACATTGCTTGTTGAAATAGCGATGGCGCCGTCTTGAGACCAAAGGGTAAGACATTCCATTAAAGGTGTCTATTTGGAAGGCAAAACGCAGTTTTGTATCTTTCTTCAGGATGAACGCCGAGTTGCCAAAATCCTGACTTCAGATCAAACTTCGAAAATATTTTTGCACCTTGGAGATGTTGGAGAAGCGCTCTTTTATTTGGCAGTGGAAATTTGATGTCTTGCAGATATTGGTTCAGCGGCTTGTAGTCAATAACCAATCTGAGTTTTCCTCTTGCTTGTTCTGCACGATTATTAACGTAGAACGCTTTGCATGCCCATGGAGAGTTTGTTCTTGAGATGATACCCTGATCCATCAATTGATTGCATTCCTCATTTGCCTTCTGCAACAATGTTGGAGGCATTCCTGCATGGCTTGCTTTTGTTGGTGTTGTGTGTACATCTTCCTTGAATGGTAGGGATACGAAGAAGCTTGAGTTTAACCATAGCGGATGATTACACTTTTGAAGGAATTCTGTGTGTGAATCAGCACATGATGTCATCTTTAATTCTTCTTCAATTTTGTTGAATTCTGCAGATACTGAGTCTTCGATTGAGAATAGGCGATGCATCGTGGTAAAAGCCTTGTAGAGATTTTTCCATCTCACACCTCTTGGTTCTAGAGAAATACCGAACTTCTTCTTCAGTACCGAATAAGTATCCCACCCAAGTATCAAGTCTTTACCAGGTGCAGATGAACCTAGTACTTCCTTAGTAACTTGACATCCAGGGAAAAGCTCTATCGTGATTGGTTTTGATTTTAGCTTAACCGTCAGGGATCCAGCATTCGCGACTCTGAAATCTTGTTGATGAGGCATCCACATGGCTCGTGAGAGAATCTTTGGATTTATGATTGTTGTATGAGCTCCTGTGTCGAAGAATGCGATTGCATGCACTGGCTTTTCTCTTTTGGAAGGATCAAAAATGGTTACTGGTAGATGTGGTGTCTGAAGTTCATCTTCTTGAGGCATCTGGGTAATCTTGAAACAACAATCATCTTTTTCATCTTCGGATGAGGATTCTGAAGATTCGTCATAATCTGAATAACTGCATATAACATCATTCTCGTCACTATCGTAAGATAGTATTGACTCAAGATCGTGGTTATCGATATCAAGATCTGGAGCTATCTTGGCTATCGAATGAATGAGATACTGCTTCTTCTTTTTAGACTTGTTTGGACAGTCTTTTGCAAAATGTCCCGTCTTTCTGCATAGAAAACATCTCGAAGTTTTCTTGACGCTTTTCTTCTTCCTAAAGAATCGCTTGCGTTTAATCTTGTTGAAATATTTCGACTTCAAAAATGATTTCTTGGATCTTCTTCGGTCTTCAAGATTTTTTTTTTTTTTTTGATAATATATATTTATCATAGTACTAATGCAGATAATAAGAGAACTTTTTCGATTGATACCCATGAAACGCAAAAGGTTATAGAATGGAAGTTAATTCCACGGATTTTTTTTAATATATATATATATATATATTCAATTAAAAGGGGCTACATATTTAACTTATGAAAGAAAAACAAAAACTATAAATTAAAAAGTTGACGTGGGCATCTCTCAATATTAGCAAAGAATGTACTATTCACTTGGAACTCGCTCTCCTTTCTAGGATCTCAAAACCATTCTTTGTTTCATGATTTCTCTCTTTCAATTTCTTGTAAGATACTTTTGAGTCTGTATTTATATCTCAGTTATCATTTACTCTCCTCACAAACCAAAATAAAAGGTGAGAGTACACTCTGATACAAAAGAAAAGCAATAGACATAGAGAAACGTGGCGTTAACTGTAGATGCAGCGCCGGCTTGAGCATTTGATAGGCCCCGGGGCAAAATAAAAAACAGGACCCCTATTATATTAAAAAAAACGTTTCGAGAAAAAAAAAAAAATATTAGTAGACAAATATCTACTCCATTATTACATCTGCTCCCGTTACACGTTCTCAATATATTTTTAGAAATCATAATAAAATTTCATAGCCTTCATGAAATCTTAGGAACTTTAGCATTTTTTTTTTTTAGACAATATACAAAATAAAAAAAGTAAAACTGGTTATTTTTCAAGATTTTAAGGGAAGTGTTGAATTAAATTTACATGCCTACTAGTCTACCACCAAATTTTGATTAATTTAGTTAATCAAACTTTTTAATGTTTTAATTAGACCAACAAATATATATATAAATATTTGTAGACAAATATCTACTCCACTTATATTCTAGAAGTCTTTGAAATACGTTATGCCAATGAAGAAAAGACAGAAAGAGCATTTTAAAATATCTCATTTCACAGATCTTTTATCTGTATGTCTATTATTGTATAGACGAGCAACTATTATAAAAATTTGTTTTTTCATGGAAAAGTATATTTAATAGACTAATAATAGTAATGGTTGTCGTACACTAGTATAACAGCAGCCACACATTCATACAATAAGATTTTTCTTTTTTGAACAAACTCATACAATAAGATTAATAAGTTAAAAAACTCACAGTGGTAAAAACGCATAGGTATTGTACATCTTCCAGAAAGAGGTTGTAACAAAATTTAATGATACTAGATGAATACCCACGCTACGTGTGGGTTTGTTTTAAAAGTTGTTAATAACAAATTATTTTGATTGTTCTTGTTGCTAGTTAATCACCCACTTTACGCCTCGGTTTTTCCGGTTTCTTTTTATTTTGATTTATTTGATGTTATATTTTAATAAATGTAATTTTTAATTATCTAATCATTTACTCATACAATGAACAACTACTCTTAGTATTAAAATACATTTTCAACTAACATACTCAACAATGCATCATTCACACAATCCGTAAACAATCTTTCCTAAACCAATTTTATAGATGGTAATGTTGGGATTATAGAATCTCCAAAATTTGATGAACTTACGTACTCTTCACCCTCAGTGTCATATATAGATCAAAAAAATAAGAGAAAAACTTACTCAAACCATTAGCTAATCCACTATACTATTATCCACTCATATTTTGAGTTAAGATTAAAAAGATTAGCGGAAAAAAACTTTGGAGTATATATAACTAATAAAATAATTTCATGGAAAAATAACATAAAATAACAAAATAAGTTAGTATTACTAAAAATCAATATGTAAAAAAAATTAAATAATATATATAATTAAATAATAAATATATTATTAACTTGTGAAATAGATTTTCAAATTCATATGGGTCATCCCTCATAGGCTATTGTGTTTTCTCCATTTGACATTTATAATTAAAAGCTGATGTGTAAAAAATAAAAGATAACTCATACTAATGAAATGTTTTAATTGGATGGAAAGAAAGCTGATGTGACATCTCCAGAAGAGCCTAAAATGCTGACGTGGCGACCATATGGAGAGATAATCTCCTTTCATATATATGATTATAGTGATATAACCATATACTACTATACATGCTAAGTTACTTTCACATTCCCACGTCAAAGCGAAAAAGACCAAGGAAAGAAAAGGTCAGACGAATTGGATGTTGTTGCACTTTGGTGAAAGTCTGGAGAGAGTCCTCAGATTAGCTCGCAAGAACTCAGTGTTGTTGTCGTTGTCCGCAGCAACACCAACTTTCACAGTTTCAAGACACTCCAACTTGCCCAAGAAGTGTCTCATCTGTTTCAGCTCTTGAAAAGAACCACCGTACTCTGAAATCTCTAGCACCTTCACTTGACATGTCCATAAACAGCATAATTTCTCCTCCTCCTTCACAATCTTCCTCTTCTTCTTTTTCTCATGCTTCTGCGTCTTAGGGATGCAAGCGCATGCGTCTCCGCATTTATTTGTTACTCTGTGTACAAGACCCTGAGACCAGAGACCAATAATTAATGGGCAACACTAACAAGAAAAAGGAGTCTCAAATAAGTAAATTTAATAATAATACCTTGAAGACTAAAGTGTGTAGATTTGGACAACTCGTGAGGAGAAGTGGCATTACTTGCCAACCTTTATCATTGTTACTCTCAATAGATAAATTAAGGAGGTTGTTGAACATGGGCATGGATTCACAACAGAAATGAAACGCCTGAATTTATAAAAGTGAGCGACCTTGCTAGCTAGTAGTAGATTGATTCTAATCCTCCACAAACCAAAACACAATCAATAGAAAAAGAAGAAGAACTGACCTCAAGGGAATCGGGAGACAAGTGAAGGGTCGTAATGTTGCTTATACCTGCAACTAGATTTGTAATATCACCAAATATAGCCGGTTCATCATCATAATAGTAACCATAATAGTCATCATCTTCATCAGAATAATCATAATCTTTAGTTGAGTCCCATAACCGGAGACTCAGCCTGACTTCGACAAGCGAACCCAAATCAGTTAACTCATAATTTTCAGAGACATAACTAGAATAGTCAAGGTAAAGAAGACTTGCTGCTTTGAAATAAGTTACATCGTGATCGTGTTTAGAACCCGGAAGATTGACAGAAACCACAAGTCGCTTGATGGATGCACTTTCCACACCTACACCGCAACATGGCATATCCCAAGAATCAGCTTCACATATGAACAGTTCTTCCAGTACAGGGCAGCCATCGATGAGCCGACAAAAGTTGGGATGATCAAGCCTTGAAGTTAAATATAGAGTAAGTGATTTGAGCGCTGGGAAAAACACGCGTTTGGCTTCAAGAGCATATCCACCGGATAGTGTGAGCTTGACCAGTGTATTGCTCGTGAACAAATCTGTCTCTATATCAACACCACCAAGATAGCGTGTATAGGCGTGCAAGTATAGTTCCAGTAAACCACGTTCCATTGCAGTCCATATCCAACGTTGGTATGCATCGTAACGGTCAGGTGTAGGTATATGACAGAGAGATAATTTCTTCATGTGTGAATTGCCTAACAGAGCAAATGTCTTGTCTACGAAATCAGAGAAGCGATGAGAACCACTTAAAGCTTCTTCTTCGTTGAGATACACAACCATCGAATCATCAAAGCAAAGGTTATCTACAAGACTCAGCAGATTCCTCCACCTCTTGGACAGAATTGATGTGGAAGCAGCCTCTTTTGTCGGAAGCAAAGACAAGATTTTGCCAAGTACCTCATCTGGCAAATTGCTTATCGAAGAACTCATGAGGGATTCAACTGTATACTCGATTAGAGTCACAACAACAACAATATTGAATTGAACAATAGAAGCCTTCGACTCTCTCTATAAAGAAAAAACAAAAACCCAAAATCAAAGATGGATCCTTTAAATCGAAGGCGAGAATAAAATTCAGGATAAGGAAGACAAAACACACACCTTACTCCTACTGAATCTTAAAATCGAAGCCGAGAAAGTTACGACGGCAGGGGAGGAGACGGAGGAAGATCGAAAAGCGAGAGAGACAGAACGGTGTCGTTTAGATGATAACACACTAACAGAGTCTTATTTTTGAGTCTCGATTAGTTAAAGCTCTTAAATTTTAAAAATAGAAATCATATGCTGCGATCAAAGATGCGTTTCTGAAAATATTTGACCGGCTTTCCTATATTATTAAAAATTTGAATATTTTAGGTCAAGTTCGATGAGATTTTAGATATCAGAAAACGTATAGGTTTTTCTTTTCTAATTTCGGTTTTAAATTTCCAATTTTGCTGTTAACATTTAAATAGAAATTATATGTTTGACATAAAAGTAGGTTGATCCTATCAAACATAATATACCCATAGGTTTGTTTATATTGGCACATTGCATGTTGTCAAATTATTAACAAAAATGGGTTGTTAGGTCATATGCAACAAGTTTTTGGATTTTAGACTATTTATTAGACATTAAAAAAAATATAATGCTAAATTAACCAGACTTGCATCAAAAATTTGATTTTGGAAAATCATGGATTAAATCGAATAACTTTTGGACCCTTTTTGTTTTATTTTTCCAGTATTTGCCTTCTAAAATTGTTGTGATATTAGAAATTTGTTAATTTTTTGAATTATGCTACTAGAACGAAACATTTGGATTAATTGCAACCATTTTATGCCGTTTTTTGGCTTTTGCTACATGAATGAATAAGATTAGATTAATATAGTCATGAACTGTAGGTGACTGCTCAAACAGAATCTTCGAGCCTCGAGTGTTGGTTTATAATAGTCCACGAGGCTTTGAACCGAGGTACTTTCTATTTTGATTAGACATATCGAAAGAAACCTTAAAACAATGTCGTAGAGAGAGAAAAAGAAGTTAGCAAAGAAACACACAAACATATATTATATGAAATCTTGGTCCGATCAAAGCTTTTTATTGTTTTGGTTGATTGAAGCAGTTAGATTCGGAAGCTTTAAAGGGTCCGAAGAAGAAGAGCACAAAATAGTACGACTGAAACAAAACTGTAGCTCTATCATCTCTTATACCTCTATGCTCTGTCACATTATTTATTTTAATATATGGAAAAAATGAATTCTATATTTTTTTTTGTATTTAAATGCAAATTCGTGGAATGGAACACATGAAAGTAATTTGTCAAAGTTTCCTTTTCCTTCGTCTTGTAAGTTGTAACTCACATAACTCGCAACTCAACTCCAACATTTACTCTTTTCATATTTTTTGCATGGAAAAATATATTAAAATGAGTGCATAATAGTATTAGTGTCATTTTGTTTGATACTCGAGTGAGAAAATAAAGGTTGTAAATGGTGACATGTACGAAACTGTTGTAAACTGTGTTGTTCTATTGATTAATGAATGAAATTTCGATACATATATATACATGATGAGGGGAGACAAATCCCCATTGGGCTAGTAAACCCTAAAGCCCAAAAGCCCACTAAGTACAATATAGGCCGTCATAAGGAGAATCTTCAAGAACATGGGCATGGGCCTTCTAGGACATGGACATGGGCCTTCTAGAATATGCATAAGGTCCACGGTTATGGAGTCCATCCAACATGTGGTTTATAACACTCCCCCTTGGATGACATAACCGTGTAGATGCCAAAGGATCTCAGTAATACGCTTGGGGATGCTGCCTCATTAAAACCTTACCAGGAAAACCCATTGGGACAAAACCATGGTTAAGGAAAAAGAGTACAGCACGTATTACTCCCCCTGTTTTGGTCATCCCTGCAAGTCCTTAAGTCTCCGCATTCCAATTTGATGCGTGAGCTTCCTCAATGTCGATGTTGGTAATGCCTTGGTAAAGAGATCGGCTGAGTTGTCGCTGGATCGAACTTGTACCACTCGAACTTCTCCATCCCTTTGCAAGTCATGCGTGAAGAAGAACTTTGTTAGAATGTGCTTCGTCCGATCTCCCTTGATGTAGCCGTCCTTGAGCTGAGCGATACAGGCTGTGTTGTCTCCTCATATGATGGTCTTTGATGTTGTAGTAGCTGCGCCTTGAAGAAGGCTGCCTACGTACCCTTGGAAGGGATCAAGCCACACGTAGTTCCTATCTATTGACCATGCCATAATCTGATTTTACCTGCATCAGCAAAACAAACTAAACCAAAGCAAACTAGACCTTCTTTGGTTAGATCAGTATAGAATAAAACCCAAATAAACAAACATAGGAATAATAGAATTTAAAATTTAACCAAACCTTCCTTCAAACCTTTCTAGTGCCTTTGGGTTGATCATGAACTAAATTTAGGCAAAGGAGGTTCACGGCAAAACATATGTCTGGTCTAGTGTGGCTAGCCAAGTACATTAACGCTCCTATGGCACTAAGGTATGGCACTTCAGGATCGAGAACTTCTTCCTCATCCTTCTTTGGACCGAATGGATCACTATCCAATCCGAGGCTTCTCACCACCATTGGGCTGCTCAATGGGTGGGCCTGGTCCATATTGAATCTCTTGAGTACTTTTTCAGTATATGCCTTTTGATGCACAAGGATTCCATTATTCACGTACTCAAGTTGCAATCCCAAACAGAATTTTGTCTTGCCTAGGTCTTTCATCTCGAATTTTTTTTTTAGATATTTGACTGTTTGGGCGATTTCCCCAGAGGTTCCAAGGATGTTCAAATCATCCACATATACTGCTATTATCACAAACCCTTCGTTTGCAAATTTCTTTATGAAGATACATGGACTGATGGGATCATTCTTATAACCTTCTCTGACTAGGTACTCGCTTAATCTATTGTACCACATGCGTCCACTTTGTTTCAGTCCATAAAGCGATTTGTTCAGCCTTATGCAGTATTGGTCTCGAGACCCTTTCTTATCTTTATCTTTGAGCTCAATACCCTCTGGTAATCTCATATATATCATCCAGTGGACTTATATAAATATGCAGGCATTACATCCATTAGCCGCAAATCAAGTCTTTTTCTTTATATAGCCAGACTTAGCAAAATTTAAATGTCTTAGCATCCACCACAGGGGAGTATGTTTCTTCATAATCTATCCCCGGTCTTTGTGAGAATCCTTGTGCAACAAGCCGTGCCTTATATCTCACGATTTCATTATTCTCATTTCTCTTCTTCACAAAGACCCATTTGTGTCCTACTGGTTTTTACATCGAATGGTGTCCTTAAGGTCGGACCAAACTCATTCCTTTTCTTAATGATTCTTAGCTCCACGTTTTATGGTCTTGTACCATTTAATCAATCAAGTCTTTGAGTGCACTCTAGTATAGACGTGGGCTCCTGATCCTCATTTATATTCATAAATTCAAGTGCTACCTTGCATGCAAAATCATCTTATGTCGACATTTCTTATATGTTCCATTATGTTCCAGACATGATATAATCGATTTGAGATTTATTATGGTCAGGACCTTTAATACTTTGCAGCTTGGCGTCCCAAGCTACATTATATGGTACCTGTACCTTAGAGCCGGCCGGCCTTATCTCCATGTCTGGGATGGTTTCCTTAGTAACCTCGGATTCCTATTGCACCTTTCTTTGATTTTCGAGGATTTTTATCTTTGGAACCTATTGGTCTACCACGTTTCTTTCGTGTGTTAGACTCGGTAGCAATTTCATTGATTCGCTTTTGGATATCAATACGTACTGGTGCATTACAAGCTGGTATGTACGTTTTTGTAACTTTCTTTGGGTCAGCAAAGGAATCTGGCAATTGATTAGCTAGATTTTCAAATGTATAATCTTATGGACCTCTGATTCTCATGCCAGAGTCCGAGGATCTTGCCAATTTAAGGATGTTTGATTTCATTATATTTCTTTTATTGCTTTACCCAGCTTGTTCGTCTCTCCACCTATAGTAGGAAATTCGGATTCATTCAAATGACAATCCGTGTATCTAGCCTTAAATAGATCACCCGTAGTTGGCTCTAGATACTTAATAATGGTGGGAGAATCAAATCCAACATATATTCCCATCCTCCTTTGAGGTCTCATCTTTGTTTCTATGTGGTGGAGCAATCGGTACATATATGGCACACCCGAAAGTCTTTAGATGGGATATGTCTGGCTCATGACCCATAAGTAATTGGGATGGTGAATATCTATGTTCACTAGATGGCCTTATGCGTATAAGTTCTGATGCATGTAAAACAGCGTGTCCCCAAGCGGCTACTGGGAGCTTCGACCTCATGAGTAATGGTCGAGCTATCAATTGAATTCGTTTAATGAAGGATTCCGCTAATCCATTCTGTGTATGTACATGTGCTACGGGATGTTCCACACTTACCCCCATGGACATACAGTAGTCATTAAACGCTTGGGACGTGAATTCACCGGCATTGTCTAGACGTATAGTCTTAAGCGGAAAATCTGGAAAGTGGGCTCGCAGTCTTATTATCTGGGCCAATAACCTAGCAAACACTTGGTTTCTAGTAGATAGGAGACAAACATGCGACCATCTTGTCGATGCATCAATGAGGACCATACATATATCTCCTTGTATCCTTTCCAGAAATTTTAAGGTCTCTTTATTTACCTTAGCCGGTGATGGCCTTATAATGAGTTTCCCTTGTGAACATGCTTCACACGTGAGATTCTTAGGGATAACTCTTTTCTCTCTTAGGGTGTGCCCCTTTGAATTAGTTATTAGTTTACGCATCATACTATGACCCGGATGGCCAAGCCGGTCATGCCATAAAGTGAATTTCTCGATGAACTCTTTGTTCATTGCCATATTAGCTTCGATCATATCGATTTTAGCATAGTAGAGACCAGTGGATAATGCGGGTATAGTCTCTTAGGATTTTCTTATGTCCTTGGGTGATCTCAATTATATTTAGGAATTCCTTGTTCCCTTCACCCTTTGTTTCAATATGGAAACCATTCAATCTTATATTTTTGAAACTTGACAAGCTCCTCTTCGAGCTGGGTGAATATAGGGCATCGCTTATTTCAAGATGCGTGCCCTTTGATAAAAGTATATGGGCATGACCATGGCCCTCAATAAGACTAGCTATACCCGCTATGGTGCTAATATTGGCATTTTTCATTATGAGATTTAGGGAAATATCTCTTATCTTTTGTGTGGCTCCACTATCCACCACAATTATGTTCTTGTCCTCGGCCATTTCTTATATGGACAAGAATCATGTTCTAAACATAAAATAATATAAAATAAATTCAAGCAAATAACAATCAATGAACACATAAAATGCAAAGAAAAACATAGAGGTTTTGATGTCGAAGTAAGATTTATCAACTTGATTCTTTTATGCAATCAGAAGTTTCATACTCTATTAGATCATCTTGATCATGTTCACCATCTTTATATACCAAATGGGCTTTAGGATTATTCCCTTTTACACTCTCTTGATAGAGGTCACAACGATGTTTGGAAGTCCTACATATCTTAGCCCAATGGTTTCCCATTCCATATCTATGGTATACTCATTTGGTCGAGTGTTGTGGTTTGGAAATACCACATCGTCCTCGCCCTCGACCACGGCCGGAATTGGGTCTACATCCACGGTTATAGTGGTTCCCATGGCCGGATGAGTTATAGTGGCCACAACCACGTCCTTTCAATACCACATCTATGGCATACTCATTTGGTCGAGTGTTGTGGTTTGGAAATACCACATCGTCCTCGCCCTCGACCACGGCCGGAATTGGGTCTACATCCACGGTTATAGTGGTTCCCACGGCCGGATGAGTTATAGTGGCCACAACCACGTCCTTTCCATCCACCACGGTCACGGCCGTGTGGTCTATCACTTTAGACGTGGTTAGATTCTTTGGATTCTTTCTTATCCTCTGCGGCCTTATTGGCATTAGGTAATGGGGTTAATCTATGAGGTCGTAACTCACTGTTTTTATCTGTAAGTCATTATTTTTATTTTTTTTTTCATCTAGCAATAGACTCATCCACGGACTTATAGTCCTGGATTATGAGACTCTCAATAAGATGGTGGCTAATATTGTCTTGTATCTATCTTTCTCTCTTGGCATTCTTGCCTTATTAGATACATTCACCAAGTCCTTTTGACTTTAGGATAATCTTAGTATCCATTGCCCATTTTAAAATAATTATCTCCTAAGAAATTTAGGGCAGTAAAGTACAAGTTGTAATTCAACATCTACAAGGAAAAGTTTTGAGTCAAAATCATGTAATCGTTAGTGTCATGCGGTATTTGAGACCGAACCATGAATCGATTTACTTAGGGATTTGACTTTCCTCTTTTGCTTAGGATTAGATTTCCTCTTTTTATTAGGATTAACTTTTCCTTTTCCTTTTTAGGATTTACTTTCCTCTTTACTTTAGGATTAATTTTCCTATTTCACTTATGATTTTAGATTTTAAGATTTCCTATTTTAATTAGGATTTGGAAATTTTCTATGTCTTAAAGTTTTCCTATCTTGAATAGGATTTATGAATTTCCTAATTTAATTAGGATTTAGAGTACAATAGGATTTAGGATTTTATTTAGGTTTTCATGCTTTCTATTAGAATTTTAAAGTTTCCTATTTTATTGAGGATTTTAAGATTCCCTATTTAGGATTTAGGGTTGTTAAGATTTCCTATTATCTAGGGTTTCCTATTTTATTTAGGATTTTAAGGTTTCCTAGATTTTAGGGTTTCCTATTTTATTTAGGATTTTAGGTTTTAGGGTTTTGAGATTTCTTTTAGGATTATCTTTTCTAAGTTTTCTAGGGTTCATGCAATTTTAGTTTTAGGGTGTTAAGCATGTAATCAATCAAAGGAGCAAACAATCTAACAACCTAAACAATCTCAATCAAGCCGATTTAAACTTATGGAATTTTTTGGATTAGATTCGTTTTAGGTTTTAGGTTTTTAGACCTTTAAAGTTTCGGTTATTAGCTTATGTATTTTCGTTTTGCGATTTTAGGTTTAGACAATTAAAACTTCTCTAGCAACTTAGGCGAGTTTAGCTTAAGCGATAATCAACTTTTTCTAGCAACCTAAACGAGTCAAACAATCGAGCAAACAAGCAATCGGATCAAACAAGCAATCAAATCATACAAGCAAAGCAATCACTTAATCAATCATCATTCGTTTTAGGGTTTCTCTTTGCTTAACTTTCAAGTTCAATTGTTGGTTCTTTAGCTTTAGGGTTTTGATGTTACCTTTCACCTTATGGGGTTGTATGGACTAGAACCGGGAGCTAAAGACCTCGGTAACTCACGCTGCTGCAACGAACCGCAAACAGTACCACGATGAACAGTACCACGATGAACAGTGCCGCGATGAACAGTACCCGCGATGAACAGTGCGGCGATGAACAGTACGGCGATGAATAGTACGACGATGAACAGTACGGCGATGAACAGTACCGAGATGAACAGTGTCGGCGATGAACAGTGCCGCGATTTTTAGGGTTAGGGTTTTAGGGTTTTCGTTAAGAGCAAGTCGTGCTGATAACGTGTTGTAAACTGTGTTGTTCTATTGATTAATGAATGAGATTTCGATACATATATATACATGATGAGGGGAGACAAATCCCCATTGGGCTAGTAAACCCTAAAGCCCAAAAGCCCACTAAGTACAATATAGGCCGTCATAAGGAGAATCTTCAAGAACATGGGCATGGACCTTCTAGGACATGGACATGGGCCTTCTAGAATATGCATAAGGTCCACGGTTATGGAGTCCATCCAACATGTGGTTTATAACAACTACTCACGAGAATTTTTATTTTTTTTTTGTCCCATGTCTCGAAACTTTAAAAGAGTGTGTACTTCGACGAAAAAAGTCTAAATATTGTGAAAAGGCCGAAAATAAATTGGAAGGTCTTACTCGACAAGAAAAATACTCATGAGTGTATTGGGCTTGAAAATGATAAATAAACCGGCAATGGTTGTTGAACAAAAAAAATCCGGCAATGGTGTAACGCGAGTATGGCCTCTCGAGTCTTTGAAGGGACAACTATAAGCCAATTAAGGACAATTAGAAGCCAATTAAGGACAATTAAGAGCCAATTAGGGGTAGATACGATGTGCCAACTCATTTCAAATTTCAAATCTAATCAAAGACAAATTGACTCAATAATCACAAAATAGATCATTAGCGGTCACAACTAGCTAGATCATTCTCAATTTTTTTTGTGGTTTGTTTTGATTTTTTTTTTCTAATCTTCTAGTAAAAATGCAATTTAAAACATGGTCAAACCAGCTAATCAGGTTTTTGAAATATTACACAATATTTTCAACGTACTATTCACAGTTAACTGTATTTAAATTCATAGGTATTTAATATTTACAATTGAAGATTATTATTGATATTATTGATAATATATTATTATTGGTGATAATCAATTAGATTTCTTTTAACCATTTGTTAACCCAAATAGTGTCCTATATATATATCTTGGATTATTATTTTAATAAATACCAGAACATGCATACACATTAGTTTCTGTTTTTGGTCGAGAAGAAACCTTTCTTAGATAGTATTAGGCCTTGGCAAAATATTCGTTTGATCAGCTTCGATTCGGTATTCGATTTGATTTGATTCGAAAAATCCGAATATCCGTAAGATTTTGGAGCAAATCAAATAGAAAAATATAATATTCGTTAAAACCGAAGCAAATACCAAATACTGTTTTTTTAAAAGTTGGATATCCGATTCGATCCGTATTTTTTCTATATATATTAGAATATATATATATATATATATCATAGTATAGTTTGTGTATTTGTATATTTTGGGCTTATGTTTTTTTAATCTTTTGGGCTCGTGTTTTTTTTATCTTTTGGGCTTGTGTTTTCTTTTTGGTGAGCTTATGGGCTTGTGTTTGGAATTTATTTAGAAAATGAAAAATTAGCATCTCTTAAATATTAAATAAATAATAAGAAGTGGACCGTTGACGATTCAGTTTCTCAAATTTTAGCTTTTTCTTCCTGGATTTACACAGAGTAATGTTTTGATTAGTAGCATTTTAAACTATCGGGTTTTGGTTTTTGGAATTAGTTTGATGGCATGTTTTTGATCGGTGATATCAACAATGGTTACGTTTATTTTTTTGGAACGTATTTTGAAAACATGTCAAACAAGAACTTTGAATATCTGATATTTTGTTATTTTATATAGTCTACGTTTTTTTTTTATATTTAGATGTACCGAAGCGGATATCCGCAAATATCACAAAAAAATCCGGATATTCGAATTTTCGGATATCCGGAAATTTCTGAATCGAAGCAAATCACAAAATCAAGTATTTGGTTGAAACGAATCGAATATCAAATATCACAAAAATCCCGGATATTCGATTCGTGCCCGGGCCTAGATAATACAAAGCCATAGGTCATCTACTATACATTTTTGCAACAGTTTTTGGGGTTCCTAATCGGGTCAAAATTTTGACCCGGAAATCATTTATTTCGACCCGGAAAAATCAATCTCGGATCTTACCTTATTTGAGATTTTTACCCGAAATCTTGGCTAAGTATATTACACAGTAAATGCAAATCCTATCGAATCATTTATTTTGGTATCTAATTAAAGCATATTCTCTCTACATATTTGATCAAATCAAGATTTCCTAAACAAATTATCTACAATCTTCCATCATATTCAATAGGATCTATATTGTTACTTCACCAAATCCTAATCCTCCCTTAAAATTTTGTCACATTCATTGTGATTAATCTAAGAATCCATTTTTAGTTTCCCGTATCTTAGATATTCTACTTCTCTCCACACGATATTTCTCAAATCGATTTGACCTTAACCCTAGACATCTAAGTTCTCTATAAATATTTCTATTCTTTCAATTTTCTACATCATCAAGCAATTACCTCATTTCTTCATATTCTCCTCCATTCATCAACTCTAGCAGTGACGGCTTCCTTTGCATTTCTTAGAGATGATAAACCTTACACGACAAAATGGCAAGCTGAAGTGAGGGTCCTTCATACCTGAAAATCATACACAACAAGATTTGGTGAGACCTTGGACATGGTGTTGGCTGATGTGTAAGCAAGATTCTAAAATTGAGTCTATATTATCATTATTCTTTTTAACAATTTGAGCTATGAGGCATATTAACAACTTGAGCTGTGACTACAAGCAGATCTCCTCAAAAATATCTCTGTGCAAATGAAAAAAAATCCGTCAATCTCAATTCAAAAGCTCCAAATACAGCTATACAAAATCAAAATCAAACCACTAAAATTCTCACATCTTATAAGGATCAGTTCATGTGTAGCCAATTGGTTTCGCTATGGGGATCAAAACCTAAAAAATGGCAAAGAAAGACAAGATTCAATCTAATTCTCCATCAAATTTCTGGAACCTAATTACACACAGTACCTCGCGATTAACGGCGAAGATCGGGCAATGTTTTCCGATCACATCATGCCAAGTGATTCTCGACTGCCAAAGAATCAACAGATCCTTTAGTGTCCATCAAATTAGAAAGTAATCTCAGCTAAATTGTAAAGAGGAGGAGTACGAACAGAGTGATATTGCCCCATCTTGCTCATCCGGACGATATCTCCAGGTCGGTAAGCGCTGGAGGGAATGGGAAATGATAGAGATATCAGAAATAAAGCTTGAATAAAAGCATTCCACGGTCGTGATCCTGCCACCGCAGCCAGGACTGCCATAACTTGGCTTCGTCGGCGAGGTTTCTCCGTGAATTTCGCCGGTTATTTTCTTCGCCGGGAGATTTAGAATTGAAGCGGAAGATTAAAAGATGATGATGCGAGTGAGAGAACTCTCCTCTGCCTTATTATTGGGCCATAAACATTAGGCCCAACTTTAATGTTTCCCAATTTACATGTTGAATCAGTTTTGACCAGCACTCTATTATTGGTTATAGGGCCTGGTAATTGATTTTTTTTTGTCGGTGGGCCTGATAACTGATTAAATAGGGAAAATTGACGGAAAAAAAAAAACTTATATCAGAACAAAAAGGCATGGTTTAACCATATTTTAGTGAAATTCCTACCAAAACAAAATACATGTTTTAGTGATGTAAATAATTCCGTGTCCAATCATTACAAAATAGTAGCTAAACGGAATGTGTTTTGCAATTTTTGATTAAAAATCCAAAATTTACATTTTGAAAAGAGTATAAGTTGGATGGTGTAAATATTGAGTCTATATGTAACTCCAACATGGTTTATTTCTAATCGAATGCTTTATTATATGTTCATTATAATATTTTTTGGAATCATAATAACATATAAATTCAAAATGTGAATTTTGTTTTTATTTATTTGTGATACTAAATTTTTACGTAATATCACAGTGCAAGCATTGATTTTAAACTTTTAATTAATATTGGCAAGTATTTGCAATTTAGAACTATTATAACTCGAATTATATGTCTTTTAAATAAAAGTGTAATTAAAAAAATAACAAAATGATGTTTAATTTCACGGGATGGGATTATATGGTGAGACGGGTTTGGAACGACATTAATACGGAATAATATACTACATGTGAAATCCTAGGATTAACAAATCAAAATACAATTATACAATTTTAAACACTAAACAAAACAAATACAACTTAAAAATTTTATTTCTTAGTTACAACGCATATGACTCGTGGTGTACAACAAAAAATACTATATACAACAAATTCATCAATTTATAAAAGAATAAAACAAATCAAATAATTAACCCGCGGTGTACCGCGGGTCATATCCTAGTACTGTATTATTTTAACATTATTACATGCATCCAACAAAAAAATTAAAATCCATGCATCATGTCAACGAGGATAAAAACATTTATAAGTACCGTCCAATTTGCGTTAAGATCTGACTAATTGAATAGTCCAAACTGCATTAGAATTTACGGATATTTGTGATCACCACTCGGTTTAGACTTTAGAAGGCCACCATTATCAACGATAATATTTGTTCTATCAAAACGGTAGAATTATTTAAACAATTTACGCGTTAATTATTTGTTTAGGTAGGCTAGCAATTAGCGAACTAGATGCTCATTAGAAGTCGTTTTTTTTTTCCGGCAAACGACATCGTTTAAGTGTTTTTTACCCATGTAAAAAAGGTATTCTTGTCCAAACGTATGACGTTTTAATTTGGGATTATATTGAAACAGAAAACTCTTAAAATCTCAATCAATGTTTCCTCTCAAAATTACTACATCTCCAGCTCTTTTTTTCCCGTTGATTAATTTCAAATATCCGAAAGAATCTAATTTCCTTATTTTTTCGATTTCAAGCTAGTTATATATTTTCGGATTTGAACTAGCAATTAATTTTGTTTTTCCTCTATATATTCCCTCGTTTTGTTGTTAATGTCCTGTTTTCATCTGTTTTGACTAAGATTTAACACAATGTTCAATTAACGTCTAACGTTTTTTATTAACAACGACCACTCTTTACTTTATATATGTAGAAATATACAATGGGCGACAAGAAAGAAACTTAAGAATTAGGTCAGGTTAAAAAAAATACTAAAGTATTTATTGATTGTGAAAGGCATTGGCACACCATTATCTTGGAAAGTTAGAATGATGCATGATGATGATCTTTGATAATAAAGTCCAACACGTTATGTTTTTCATGTTTTACTAGGCAATATAAGAAGACAACTAATTAATATTACCGGCCAAAATTCAAAGATATTGACATATAGTATTATATACGGATAATTGAATAGAACTAATTCAACAAAGTCAAGATTCTGTAACATTTCAAATTTGTTTGAAAAGTATTTGAATCCTAATGGATAAAGGGCTAAAAAAGTGAGCGGATAGAAAATGAAAAAAAGTTCAATGAAGGTGCTATTAAATACGGCCCTTTTTTTTGTTTCTTCTCCCTTAGCTTGTTTTGGCTTCTTCATTAAGAGACATTGGCCTTTGTGTTTAACGTCATTTAGTAATGATCACTTTTCCTTCAACGAAGTTAAGATGAGAAATATACAAAGTACAGTGTATTAATTAACTAAGATATATATATATATATATATATATATATATAAATATATATATATATAGCATATGCATGCTACTTTTCTTTTCGGGCTTGTTTATATATAAACCAAATCTTTTATTTTAGAACTACTATTCGCGAAGAATTTGTGATAAATTATCTATTAAAACTCTAAAAATTTAATATCATTAATTTACAGTTAAAACTTAAATGAAAGCCTAAATCTCATTATAAAATCATACGGTAAGAAAAAAAATTCTCAACGGTGAATATGTATAAATTTACCCTCTCTCTCTCTCTGTCTATCTTTTTTTTGGTTTTTAATTTTTTATATATTAGTTTGTATGTATGGTAAAAGTTTGTCTGCATTTACATAAGGTATCCACGCAACGCAATGACGCAAAGATGAAAGAATAAATTCAGTCTCTTATCTAACACAAAGTTAATGTAATGCAGTTCATAACTCATGTTAAATGGATTAGATTCTAGACCAATAATCCATCTCCTTCTTTTTTTTTTGTCGTCTAATAAGTATCTAGTTCTTTGTATTTTGACATAATTAGTTTATTACCTAACAAAGAACAAAGAATCACATTGCGGAATATTCACCACTCCCCATCTACTACTAGCTAGCCACAACAAGACATAATATATCAAATTGGTTACGTTTCTTTATAAACATATAAAATTATGAAACGCAAGATTCGTCTTGTAACGCGACGGGCCGACTTATGCTTTTTAATCTCTCAAAATACTGATCCTAGAGGCCTTATATATATAAGAGAGAGAGCCAGATATATATCTATTGATCCCTCTCTCTAAAGCAAACCAAATCTCAAAATAAAAAAAGGTGGGTTAAAATTAAGAATTAAGTCCCTAAAGCATCATCATGATTAAAAAGTTCAGCAATATGGATTACAACCAGAAACGGGAGAGATGTGGGAAATACATCGAAGCCCTCGAAGAGGAACGTCGAAAGATTCATGTATTTCAACGTGAACTTCCTCTTTGCTTAGACCTTGTAACTCAAGGTATGTATAAATATCTAAATATACAACGAAATGTATTAATCTACATATATTTACTACATGAAATGCAAGATTTGTGATCCATATTTTTTTCCCAAAAAAAAAAAAAAAAAAAACTATACGTGTGAAATTCTAGTATCTATGAAAAGTTAAACATTTTAAATAATTTTTATTTGTTTCTTCAGCCATCGAGGCATGTAAAAGGGAGATACCGGAGATGACGACGGATAATGTGTACGGACAACCAGAGTGCTCGGAGCAGACGACCGGAGAATGTGGGCCGGTCTTGGAGCAGTTTCTAACAATTAAAGATTCATCGACCTCCAACGAAGAAGTAGATGAAGAGTTCGACGATGAGCACGGAAATCACGATCCGGACAATGGCTCCGAGGACAAGAACACGAAATCTGATTGGCTTAAGTCTGTTCAACTGTGGAACCAACCCGACCATCTTCTTCCAAAAGAGGTAATCTATTAAAGAATCCGTATCGAAATTCACACTAACTTTTAATTATGAGAACTATGCAATGCTATAGTGGCTAATTTAACATGTTATGTTCTAAACCGAAAAAACAAAGGATGCAAGGCTTCGAAATTTCTTGGTTAACACAAAAATATCTCAATGACATAACGCTCTAATATTTGCGATTTGCGTTTCAGGAACGGTTGCAGCAGGAGACGATGGAGACGGTGACAAGAGATGAGAGTATGAGAAAGGATCCGATGGTGAACGGTTGCGAAGGGAGGAAGAGAGAGGCGGAGAAAGACGGAGGAGGAGGGAGAAAGCAAAGAAGGTGTTGGTCGTCGCAATTGCATAGACGCTTCTTGAACGCTCTTCAACACTTAGGTGGACCTCATGGTGCGTTTTGAATTTATATAAAGTTGTTGTTATATGAGATTTTAGTTAGTATATTGATTTTGGTGAATGGATTTTGCAGTAGCTACGCCAAAGCAAATCAGGGAGTTAATGAAAGTTGATGGATTAACCAATGATGAAGTTAAAAGCCATTTACAGGTAACTACAATAAACACATGCAATCTTAAACTTTTTTTTTTTTTTTTTTTTTTTTGGTAAAAGTGCAATCTTAAACTTTCTTTCTATAATTGATGTATAGGAAAAAACACAAAATAATTTTTCTTTTCTTTCGAAACTACAATTTGTCATCTACAAGTAGGATTTAGTCCTTTTTTCTCAAAATATTTTTAAGTTTTCTAACTTAAAATCTATGCTATGCAAATATGATTTTAATCTTCTTTTTTTTTTGGGATATATAATAATAGAAATTTAGACTGCATACAAGAAGGCCACGCCAAACAGTCCCTAACAACGGAAACTCTCAAACGCAACATTTCGTAGTCGTCGGAGGATTATGGGTACCACAATCGGACTACTCTACGGGCAAGACCACCGGAGAAGCCACAACCAGCAGTACCACCACCACCACCGGGATCTATGGAGCCATGGCAGCACCGCCACCTCCACAATGGCCTAGCCATTCCAATTTTAGGCCGTCGATTATTGTGGAAGAAGGATCGGGAAGTCATAGTGAAGGGGTTGTGGTCCGGTGTAGCTCGCCGGCGATGTCTTCTTCTACCCGTAATCATTACGTCAAGAATAATTAATTTGTTTTTACTGTCTCTAATCTTTTTGTGGTCATTTTATACTATTATTTGGTTTTGTTCTCTTCATATTACAATTTGATACCGTGATTGAGGACTGTATAGAGTTTTGCACCGAACCAATCTTTATAT